ACACACTACACTGCAAAACCTCCCGGGAGATCCAGCCTGGACTGGTGATGTTACTGCTCTCAAAACGCTTGTCAAACACGGCCCCAATAGATGCAGTCGCATTCTCGAAATGCACGCATGGCGGATGGTCGTCTTTTCCAATTTCAACAAACTTCAGTCGATCGATACAGCAAAAATTTGTATGGAAAGCATGGTTGTTTTGTACATTGTCAGAAAGCTTTGGACCTCAGCTACCCCAAAAAATGAGGGCCAAACGTACCGATACTATAGTATCGATTCGCTTATGGTAGACCGGTAAAGGATTAATTTAGGCGTTTTGGGTCGGTGCCGAATATAGCCGAAATTAAATAGCTGTCGAAAATTCGTACCGTATTTCCGCGCATATAAAGCCATGGCGTTATAGGTGAAACATGGCTGTTTTGGACCGAATGTTTGGAGACAATAGCCTCGGTTTTAACGCCATGGCGCTAAAAGTGAGAGACGCGTACATGCAAAAAACGGCAGAGTATGAACTTCGAGTACTCGTATGGTGCCATTGCACTTTCATGTCGAGGATCCATGTACTTTCAATTTTCCCTGAAAATTTCAAATTGTGAACCTATTGTGTACAAGGTGGCATACAACCTTGTGTGAAGGTGTGGTGGCGGTATGGCATGTGACAGTGGGGATATGTACATGCAGGGAGAATCACCGCTGCTGTAGGTTCACTGAAAGAATTGAACTTACCTTTAACGCCAGACGCTACTTTCTCCACATTGAATTTTGTTCACTTCTAACGCCATGACTTTATAAGTGAGGGTGGCCTTATACAGGTCTACTCTCCATATAACGTAATCTCTGGGACCACGCAAAAAGTATGTTATATCGAGAGTTATGTTATGTAGAAAACCGTGTGTAAAATACAAGATGCACCTCAAAATGAAGGGTATTACAAGGCGGGTTCAACCGTGCAAACATATACACACTGTGCCACCATCGACATCAGATACCATCAATGCCGCAGAATATATGCACAATAAGACTAAACTGGCTAGCTACGGCTACAGCTTGATTGTACCGCGCACGTGAATCTACGTTGTATCGAGAGTGCACACGTCGGGGACTGCGCCGTAGGGTGCGTTATGCCGAGGTTTACGTTATGTAGGACTAAACTAGCTACCGCTTGATCGTACCGTGCACGTGAATTTATGTTGTATCGAGAGTTCGCACGTCGGGGACCGCCGTAGCGTGTGTTATGTCGAGGTTTATGTTATGTAGGATTATATTGTGTAGAACAAAATTTGTATGGGAGTGATGCTGTTTCGGCGCGGGATTTGATTTTTTTATGTACTGGCGAGGTTTATGTACAAGTGAGAGTTGTTATATCGAGAGCAGACCTGTATTCGGATATAACGCCATGCGCGGAAATACGGTATATTTACAGTATATTATTATTATTATTTGTGCTCCCGCGTCAATGGGCTCGCCCAAATTCGCTTGCACCGAACCATGCGAAAAAAGGCCGCCAGCAGGCAGGCAGGCAAAGAAAAATAGAAAATGGTGTCACATAAACTAATACAAACAAGAATATCATTATTGATGACATTAATATACTGAATGAATGGCAAAGGCCATGTGAATACGGATAATCAGAGTACCAACAACAAAGAATGTAGCTCAAACCATTGCAGTGCCAACTTCCTTCACCAGTACTCTGCCTTGTACGCATCTGTAACTGCGTTGCACAGATATTTCCATTCACGGCGGTCCAGTGCTCGCTGAGCCATCAGCTGCAAGTCCCTTGGAGTCCTCAGACGGCAGCCGACTCGCTCCGCGTCTTGATTCAGCAGGACTGGTAGCGTGATCCGCGGCCGCCCACGGTATCCCGGCACGGAGCAGCCAAAGAATCCACTCATGGCCTCCCTAGCCGGTGTGTGCTCATCTGATCGCAGGATGTGGCCAAACAACCGCCATCTTGCATTCACCAGAATGTTGCCAAGTGGAGCAGCACTGCAGCGCTCGTAAACCAAATCGTTCGACAGTCGGTTGGGCCACCTGATACCCAAGATATGCCGAAGTTGCCGCCGATGATACGATTCCAGCGCTTCAATTGTCTGTCGAGTGATGCCCCATGTGGAGCAGTTGTAAAGCAAGACAGGTAACACGAAGCAGTTATACAGCCGGACGCTCACCCCCAGACTCACTTGGTCTCTTCTCTTCCATAACTGGCAGAGGGACTTAAACGCTATCGCCGCAAGCTGCTTTCTGCGGGTGACATCCTCTGCATCACCAAGGAGAGAGCCGAGTTTCTTGACCATACGCCATGGCTCATCAGCACGATCGGCCTCTCGCTGGATGGCTGTGAATTCTGTCTTGGTCTGGTTGACGGTAAGGGACCATGTACCCAAGATGGTGGCAACTTGTGGCTCTAGCATCCGAAGCCAATCACTAGAGATACTGATGAAGTCCACATCATCGGCGTACTCCACATCGTACGGAAGATGCCGGGCCACAGGTGCAGCCATTCGCTGTCGCACATCCTGCAGGGCAGCTTCCAGGTAGATCACGAATAGAATTGGCGACAAGGAGTCGCCTTGCGGGGTACCAATGTTAGTGGAGAAAGAGCTTGATGTTTCCGTGCCCAGTCTGACTGCCAAATTCGTATCTGAGATCAGGTAACGGATCAAGCGTACCTCGTCTTCTTCCAAGAATCGCTGAACCACGTCCATCAACTGTCCTCACCTGATCGTGTCAAAGGCACGTGACATGTCGATGCCCAGTATGCTGAATGACCAGTGGTACCGCTGGGTCATTTACAGTATATAGGATTCGAAAAAATAGGGCACAGGCCTTAGTAATATTGCGCAAGGAGATGAACTTTAGATGTTAGTATTTGAAAAAATTACTTGGTCCGCGTCAGCAATATTGTCGCTTATCTTTCGACAATTTGAACTTAGACTTTGGACATGAACGCGTGCAGCTGAAGTGATAAAACTTGGTACGATGGACGGTAAGGTATAGAATAACAACTACCTGCGAGGAATTTATTGTCCAAGGAAGGGTTCCTACTTTGTTCGGTCCTCCTCGTCGCTGCTCTCGGCGCTGGCGACAAATAATTTTGCTCGGGATCGACCCTCTTGCTTTTGCAAGCTCATCTCTCTTCCTCTCCGCTGCCTGGCTATTTTCTAAAGAGAAGTCGATCATGACGGTCGCCTTCTCTATAGGACTTCGCCTGGGCAGCACGACAGCCTGTGTGGTTCAAATCAGACGCCGTTCTTTGCAAGATTTTATTTAGAAAGACGACGATGCGTGCAGTACATGTACTTGCAAATCTCCACGACGCGCTGGGTACTCCGAGCGAGGAGCTGGAGGTAAGGGAGCTGCAATCTGAGCTTGATGAGCGATCCCTGAGGTGAGCGATCTCGGCCGTTCAGCAAAATGGAGCTGATTCCGAGTAGCCTATTACTTTCTTGTGGCTTGCGGTGCTCTTGCCTGCACAGCGTAACCAGACAATCTATTTTGATGCGGCGCTGTATCAATCAGAATCACCCACCTGTCGCTCTCGAAATCCACTCGAACTCTAGCTAGACCTTTCAGGTACTAGCAAACTAACTTGCTAACCAAAATTGGGATGAAATGGACTGCCAAGTAAGCATTGGCGACATATAAACAAAGCTGAAAGATAAGCGACAATATCGCTGACGCGGACCAAGTATCTTATTCAACTCTCCATATCGACTAAGACCTAACACGGAAGAATTGGTCACATACTTGTCCCTAGTCTCGTGCCACACCCATTTTGAGTTGAAAAATATGACCAGAATCCTATACTGTACAGGCAGAAAAGTTCGTCGGTCAATATTTTCGTCTAACTCCAAAGAAGGGGAGTTCGTCTGGTTGAAAACTTCGTCCATGGATCATAAGAGTGTATTGAAAAGGTGGACAAATCGACATTCGTCCTACATTCAATTCAGTCCAAAATCTCCTTGGACGAAAAAGACGAAATCAAATTCCAGACGCATATTTCTGCTTATACAGTATATAGGATCTAGGAAATTAAGAGATAAAATACCAAGCAAGACTAGAGCTCACTGACTTGTCAGTTTGAGCACTCTGGCAAGGTACGTTCGGGCCTGGTTTAAATCTGGCTTTTGGAAAAATCATTTTTCATTTTGATCAGGTTCGGCCTCATTTTCTCTGTGCTGCGCTGATGAGTCCACAAAGGACGAACCAGTTCTGTTCGCAGATTGAGTGTTTCGCTCCTGCTCTTGCAGCAGTTGAGCACTCTCGTGTCGGGTAGTGCCTTTGATGTTTGCGTTATGCAGAGCTCACTGACTTGTCAGTTAAAGCACTCTGGCAAGGTATGTTCTGGCCTGGTTTAAATCTGGCTTTGGAAAATTTATTTTTCATTGCTGTCAGGTTCGGCCTCATTTCCTCTGTGCTGCGCTGATGAGTCCATAAAGGACAAAATAGTTCTGTGCGCAGATTGAGTAATACCAAGAGTATATAGCCCCCCAGAGTGTGGAACTCTGCATATGGGGTCTCCGACGGCGAAAACTCACATCACATGTCTCAGGTACGTTTCGTATTGCGTACAAATGAAGGATAGCGTGCCCGCAATCCGAATATCTGCCATGATCATGCTGAGGATTTGCATACACGCAGTGAGTTTCTCTCAAAAGAGTAGTTTTTTTATTACTCCGCTGCTCGCTGAAAATGGGCTGGAAATGTACAACTGCGACACCATACCACGTGATGTGAGTTTTCGCTGTCGGCGACCCCCATCGAAAGGGTATCAGGAGTTGCACACTCTTGGGAACTTATAATATATACTCTTGATAATACCCATGTCAGGGGCCATCCGTAAATATAGATATTTATTTGAAAACGAAAACTAGTCGTTTAGGGTGGAGGGTGTTGAGCGTTTGTTCGTTTTTCGAGTGCATGTGTGTGCATGTGTGTGTTTGTGTGTATGTGTGTGTGTTTGTTTTTGCCTTCTTACTCCTTGCTTATCTCTTCAGATTTTGCTGAAGGAGCGCTAAAATTTAGGGTGTTTATTCGACCGGAGTACAACATAATGGCTCTGGATTTTCCGTATGTGTCGACGACCGGAGCTCCTTTTTGTCCCAGACAAAAAGTGTTCACTACCTGCAAGATTGGAAATTCAAACAAGTCCGTTGCCCTCCAATCTTCACCTTTTTTAATCACGAACCGCTGTGGAGCCTACCTTCTCGCGGATCAAGTGGAAAAAAAGATTCTGGCAAATGGCCTCTGTACCAGTGCTGAGAACTGTCGCTTAGATTGTCCTGACGACACTCTTTCGTACATGAGTTTTGCAGTTGAAAATGGAAAATTTGTCTCCAAAAAGTACACTGTCTATGCGAACTTCTCTAAGCCCGTCGTTTTCGAAAACAATCCAACTTTGAAGCGTGAGTACTAGTAATGGGTTCGATGCTTCTTTCTTTTTTGCTTGCTTCACGTCATCACTTCAACATGCATAGTGGATATGCATTCTCACCAGGGACTTGATTCGGGAGCGGAAACAATAATTTTTTTCCTTGATTATGGTGAGTGTGCACGTGTGTGTGTGTGTGGGGGGGGGGGGGGGTACAAAAATGTCATAGCCGTGGATCAAGAGGTTTTTCTGCAAACTTTTGCCTCGAAGGTTGTCGCAGCTCCATCGTAGGTCACATCACGGCAAGTTATACCAAGGTCAACTTCTGCGACTAGCGATGCACATCGCTTTTTATACGGCAGGTGCATGTGACACAGGTGCTCCGGCTCGTGTAAGGTTTCGCTTTTCGCTGCAATGTGCTGTGCATCGAAGGCTCTTCTCGCGACATGAAAAAGTCTGTTCGCTCGATGTGATATTGTGCCATCGCGCTTTATTATTATTATCATCATGCGCATTCCCGCATTGAAGTGTAGCAGCAGTATGCTGCGTCCACAGCTTTGCTTATGCAGAATGGCTTAGGTGAGAGGAGAAGGGAGAGAAAGCAGCAAGGCAACCAACACGATCTTAGTAAAGCCTTTGATCGTGTATGGCATCAAGGCTTGCTGAAAAAGCTGAGCCACTACGGTGTCGACGGCAAGGCTCACAAGTGGCTCAAAGCCTACTTGACAGGACGCAGACAGCGGGTGCAGGTTGAAGGCACAGCATCCGCCTTCATACCAATACCAGCGGGAGTGCCCCAGGGCTCGGTCCTGGGACCACTTCTGTTCCTGGCGTACACCATTGACCTGCCCACTGCCTGTGAAAATGCTACATCCTCGTGTAGCCAGTTCGCGGACGACACCGCACTAATTGCCATTGCAGGCAGCTACATTGAGTGTGAGGCTGCGCTACACAGAAGCGTCGATGCCGCAGCAGAATGGCTAGAGCGCTGGCACCTGCTAGTCAATAAAACGAAAACCATCATCCTCCCGTTCTACCATTCTAACCGACCCCCACCACGACTACCCGAAATAAAACTTCACCAAACCCTTCTAGAAACAGTAACACAACATCGTCACCTCGGCATCATCTTTCAGCACGACCTAAGATGGTCAGCCCACCTTGACTTTGTGCTGAAGAAAGCCGTAAAATCTTTCAATATTCTCTTTAGGCTCAAATCAACTCTACACACTAAATCACTCTCTCTCTCATTTACAACACATATATCCTGCCTATAATTGAATATGCATGCATTGCTGTCAACCCGCTCTCAATCGCAGCCCTTGACCGTCTTGAGCGAATCCAGCGCAAGGCGGCCAGAATATGCCTCCGTCTCTCCCTCCACACTCCTCTGAAACACTGCTCCATCGGCTCAAATGGCCGACAATTTTCTCTCGCCGCAAAGTGAAGCTCACCCTTCTTGCTCACTCCATAAAATACCAATATGCCCCACAACACATACGCTTGCTCAACACCCCCGCTCAAGTTACGGCCCAGTACAGCCTTCGACACGCACGCACTTGGCACCTCCCACCCTCCAGAACCGATCGCTGTAAAGACTCCCCATTGTACAAGTCCCTAGAATACTACAATGCCCTCCCTGCTAGCATTCGTGACGTCTCCTCCCGACCTGCCTTCAAACAAGAAATCTGCTCACTGCTGATTAACTCAATCTGCTCCTGCAGCGCTCACCCTCTCCCATACTTGTAAAGTTCAAAGTGATGTAAATCACTTTCCAACTGTTTAACCCACAATCTCACCTTCTCATAAATCTATTTCTTATTGGCGATGGTACCATCGTGAGAATAAAGAATTCAAACATCCACCTTCTCATAAATTTATCTCTTATTGGCGATGGTGCCATCGTGAGAATAAAGAATTCAAACATCGAATATGAAATATGTCATAGTAACAAGAAGAGAACTAACCTACATTATGGATGATTGCACAAGAATGGAGAAGACAAATGGCATAATCCTTGTGCTACTAAAGCGGTACACAGGAGATAATTATGTCGACAGTGTAAGGGAACATTAAAGAAAATTATTCTCAGTTACTGGTTCTACAAAAATAAGAGAGAACAACGCTACAACATAAGAATTCCTGCTTACTTGTACATACATGTACATGAACTGTCACAAAGTGTAGAGAACGAGTCCAATACAAAAGCTTGAACAGACTGTCCCGAAGATATCTTGGGACAAAGGGTACTGCTTGATGGCACTGATGCTGACGTTGACGAGGCACGAATTTGAGCTGAACACGCACAGAGTCTTGTACATGCCATCATTATGCGCCGGTCACGGTTGTGGAGTAAACAGGAGGTATGAAAGTTACCAATCCAGCTTTAGCTCCGCGCTCGCTTCTGCACTTTAACTAGTTATTAGCGTGCTTGAAAAGGTCCTAGCCCCTAGATTTTCTTTCCCTTCGCATTCGGCCTAATTTTGCAAATTAACCAAAAAAAATAAAGCCAATGTCTGTACCACCAAATATCACCGGACATGGCCAATATTCCGATTTCGCTCCAAGTTGGGTCCTTTTGTTCCTGGGTGGACCCCATTCACCCCTGTGACAGTTTGGTCTAGAAACCGTCTGTTCCTTAGATATTGAAAATTAAAATTACGAACTGAAACACCTTCAAACAAGGTACAAGAGCGAGGGGTCACTGCTTCTCACAACAACACAGCGCAGCCAAACCAACTACATGTATGTTCGCACACCGATGAGCTTCTTAGTAATGTTTACCCTTCGAACTTTAGACTGGCGAGTTGCCGAGTCCCTCGAATGAATCCATCAATTCAACCTGTCCAATGCCGACCATTACGAAGGCCATCTTCCAAGGCCAGTAGCAGCGAGGTGACGTCCAGAAATTTGGGGTAGACCACCACCATAGTCTGCTACACCATGTCCGGTGATATTTGGTCGTTACAGACATTGAATCTTTAACAACTTCAAGGAAGTGCACTGTTTATGCTATATCGAACGGTGCTCGTGCCGAATACCCAATATACCGTTGGTTTGGCACCGTTTCGACGGTAGGAGGCTCTGTTTAGAGGCGATTTACACGACGGCAGGATTCATGGAGATTCAGTCACATGTACTCATATTTCGGCACGAACGTATCCCGCCGGCTATCCCGGTACGGTCCCGGTGCCATGAGGGGGCTGTGGGGTGGAAATGCACACCGTGGCATTCCGTGCACTGTGTTGTACTACAGGTACTGTACGTGCATCCTGCCGTGCGGATCGATTTTCGTTTTTCCCGTATCACCGCAAGCTCTCGGGATCATGTGCTTCTCTACCCGTCGGGATGCACTGCAGTCATGTAAACCGCCTCCAACCGAGAGAACGAAACGTAATATTCCAGCTAAATTCACCTCATCTCACCACCATCACCCCCTATTAACTCGTGCCACCACCCAAAGCCCTCCATTCTTTATCCACTAACGATGGTGTTCAGAACAACGATACGTCTGGAAAAGTATGGTACAGTAACCATTTCTATCTTTATTAATCAGTTTGAGCACTCTGGCAAGGTACGTTCGGGCCTGAAATCTGGCTTTGGATATTTTACTTTCATTGCTATCAGGTTCAGCCTCATTTCCTCTGTGCTGCACTGATGATGTCACAAAGAACGAGTCAGCATGCTGTCCGCAGATTGAGTATCTTAACCCTTTAAGAGCCGCCCCATACTTGAATGCGTCGTAAACGACGCATTCAAATGCAAAACTTCAAAAGATCGTAACTCAGTCCAATCTCGCTCAAATCCAGTGATCGAAATATCCAGGGCAAAGAGAAATCTCTCACCTGTTGGGAGAAACAATCCGCGAAGCGCTGCGAGCAACGGTTCCTGAGATAAATCACTCGTAAATTGAGCCGCGATCGCGGCAATTTCAAAAGCGCGCAGTGCGACTTTAGTATTGAGAATTTTGAGACTTTTCGTCAAGCTGGCTTACTCGAATTTGCACGGGTTTCACTGTTGATATTGTCAAGAGTACACAGCGAAAAAATTGGAACTCCACGATCGAGTAAAATGAAATATCTGGAGCGGGACGCAATTGGACGCATTTGGGGCATTTTTCGTACTGTCGCTACGATCTAGCGCTGGATAGACGGTGTGCTGGCTATCATGATCGACCTCATTCTCTTCGTCTCGCGGAGACCTTTCCAGGAAGCCCTAGATTGTGAGGATTGAGTGAGTAGAACTGAAGCTATGATCCAAAGAACACGAAAAAATGCAGAATTTTGAAAATTTCCTGTGGCTCTTAAAGGGTTAATTATATATGCCACTCTTGGTCTAGAAAGAATACGTTTTGAATACGTTGCATATAACTGATGTTGAGTACGTTTTAGGGGCCGTTTACATGAGAAAAATAAGCCCGGGCTTATTCAACCCTAGGCTTACGATAAGCCCGCCTTGATCAGTCACCCAGTCATTTTAGAGCGCGCGTTTACATGGTCAGGCGGGCTTATTCAGCTCGCCCCGAGCTGAACTAGCCCTACCCTTGACCCCCGAGCTTATCCAAGCCCCAGGGCTTATTTTGTCATGTAAACGGTCAAGAAGGGCTTATAAGCGAGTTTTTCCGTATTTTTCGATTTTGCCTCGTGAACCTGAGAGAATGTGGCCGTGGACAGTGCGTCTCTTTTATTTATTTCTTGGTATGTTTTCTTCTGGTTTTTGTCCAGTGGAAGGTCCTAGCCCATCCTCCACCTTCTCGAAAAATAAGTGACAATTGGAAAGGCAGTAGAAACCTGAGCCGGCATTTCTTGATCCAAATTTCATCAAACACGAACATTTACCACTGCGTTCATGTGCGATTTGAAAAATATAATGCGCGCAGAACTCGCAGTCACTCACCTTAACTCAGCCCCGTACAACCGTCATGTAAACGGTTGAAAAATAAGCCCGAGGCGAATAAGCCCGGGCTTATTTTCCTCATGTAAACGGCCCCTTAGACTCCGATACAATTCACAACGGGACAGGTAGGTGGAACGACTTTTATTATAGACGACGAGACAAGAGACCAAGACGAACGAAACGACTACATTGAAGAGTGAGAAAGAGATTATTGAAGAGAGCGAGATCGACTGAGAAACAACGCAATATAAAGGGCCTGGGTAGCTATGGCAAACATGGGCGCGCAAGTAGCTACCCAGGCTAACGGAACGAAAGGTGAGCATGACGTAGTACGGGTGCATGCATGCCGGCCAGCTTAGGAAAGGTTGTAGGTAAGATTGCACGGGAGGAGGTACCTAACACTGCTATCAAAAAATTGAAACGGCTTCATGGATTACCTTCAAATTTGGCAAGGTGTTTCTTTGATTGAGGTGCCTGCAGAGTTTCATCTTTCTGTTACCACCAGAAGATAAAAGCTATTGTTAAAACCACTAAGGCCACACCAAGTAATTCCTATGTTTCGCGTACTTTTTTTGAATCGTTGACAAGAAAAAAAAAAGTACCCAGACGAAATGGAAATGGAAGACGAGATTGCGGAACGACTCCACACAGGATGCAGCTGCGAATATATCGATCATGTCTCCGCAGTCTTCAGCTATTCTTTGTCATTCTAGCTGCCTACTGCATTGTTTCAAAGGTAGTCAAAAGCCCACCCACCTTAGAATGCTGAATATTTATTGTACACATGCATCGTATACATAAGTTGCACCAATTAGGAGTACATCTTGTATATTGGTGTATACACACGTTTTGAATCGGAATATTGAACTTTTTCTCTGCTGAGGTCCTTCAGGGGATGTGTTTCCACAAATTTCTAACCAAAAAGAGATTTTGAAAATGTTGGATCTAAGGGCTGTTTTCGCTGGTTGAGGCCCACATAATTATTAGGATCAGATAAAGAGACATCAATATTTAAATGCATTCTGAAATAGTCACTATGCAAAAAGAGTTATACTGTTATGGATGTGATTGTGTGTGTGTGTGTGTGTGTGTGTGCGTGCGTGTGTGCGTGCGTGCGCGCCGATGTCTATGCCTGCATGCATTTTCTGTTGCATGTTGGTCTATGGGACAGCAAGATGCGTAAGTGGTAACTTTGACGACCTCAGGTGCATTGCTATTCCAGGTACCAATTATGCACAACAACGGTGTGTTAGCCTTACATGTAAGTTCAGTCGCTTATTTGTCATGCTAACTGTCGCCATTTTCTTCTTCTTTTGTTTTTAAGCTCATTGAACGCTGGTGACGTCTATAGACGTCAGGCGTCATGGAGAATGCCTCTCCCCCCCCCCCCCCGCACCCCCGTCCGCAGATGACGTCTATAGACATCATGGGATATGATATCTCTTAAACTGTCGAATTCTATATACACTCGGACGTCTCTTATCCGGGCACCTTGGGACCGGGCACTGCCCGTATCTCAGATTTGCCCGTATCTCAGGATAACTCATCCACCATGTATGATATCATTTTTTGAAGAAGTTTATTTGTCACGTATTGCACATGTTGAGGATACAAAAGGAACCCATTGATAAAAATGTGGGGGTTACATAGGTTGGCAGTGAAACATAACTTCATAAGCACTTCCACATACGGAAAAAAGTTCAAAAAAACCAAATTCGACGCATTTGTGCTATAGGAACTCAAGCTGAAGGTGCCCGGTAGAGAGACGTGCCCGTATCTGAGGCGTCCGGATAAGAGGCGTTTGAGTGTATAGGATTTTTTGAAATTTTTCAAATAATCATGACCCTACTTCCGCCCGGGATAAGTTGTGTGCCTAAATTTTATCGTAAGGTGTTAGGGCAGTATCGGTAGGTTCTCTTCAGAAGTTATCAAGAATGCCGGTATTATCGCTTGACTTATAGGGCCGTTTTAGAGAGGACAGGTCGGTTTTTTGTCGAATCCTATACATGTATATAGGATTTGAGTGGTCTGCATTATCCAGAGTGTTGTAATGGATGCAGATGATGATAGAATGCTTAGTATGCTGAATAAGTACATAGATACCATGCATAGATGTCTGTGATTGATTGGGGAGCACTGCCACAGGTTGGGATATCTAGTGCTTTTAACTGTTCTGCAGCGGAAGCTTAAAGGGGCACTCCGGGAATTTTCGGTGGTGTGTTCTCTTCATGGGGGCCTTATATGGCCCCCAAGGAATGGGGAATCGCGAAAAATAGACCCAAAAAGTCGATATATGAAGCCAGGGAGGGCCAAGTTAGTCTCCTGAAGAACGATGTTTGGTCGACATTCCCAAGCTTCACAACTGCGACTATACTCTAAGGAACATAAAGGACCTCCTGAGGTGCCACTGGTAGAAGCGCAGCCTGATGAGGGCCTGGAGGTTGGAGCGGACGACTTCACTGAGTACGAGGATCTCCGTGAGGCATATGGTTAGAACAGTTTTATTTAGACAAGCTGACGCGAAGTCGGGGTGATGTGTAACGCATGTCAAAGGGCTGCCAATGCTAACAGCTGCAGCGCTCTCTTGACAGCAAAGGTAATCGACTGCCCTCTGCATCACCCCACATTTCTGGCAGGAACACCAATCGTTATTTCCTTTTTGACCAGTGAAGTCGTCCGCTCCAATTTCCTGGCCTTCATCAGGCTGCGCTTCTACCAGGGGCACCTCAGGAGGTCCTTCATGTTCCTTAGAGTATGGTCGCAGTTGTGAAGCTTGGGAATGTTGACCAAACATCGTTCTTCATCACCAGAAAATTAAAAAACCCTCGATCTTCTCGATCGAAAAGATCTTCAAATGCAGAGAATTTGAATACTAAGCAAACGTGACGTCATCAAAACCATCAAAGGAGGAGACAAACTTGGCCCTCCCTGGCTTCATATATCGATTTTTGGGTCTAGTTTTCGCGATTCCCCATTCCTTGGGGGCCATATAAGGCCCCCATGAAGAGAACACACCACCGAAAAAATTACCGGAGTGCCCCTTTAACCCCAAAAATTGGCCGATCGGCTTGAAATTTGGATTATTCTCACGGAAGGGTATGGAAAACGGTTCCAACCACCTCATGAAATCCATTTCATCAATTTGCGTAGGTTGTTTAGCGAAATCCTTTAGCCCGAAAACAGTTTAAGAGATAGCGAACCCGGACATGACCATATGCATGTGAGGAAGTACACTGGATACAAGGAGAGTGAAAAGGCCGATCGATCTTCAAGCTGTGTACTCTTGAGAATAACTTTTAAAAGTGGAACCCATGCAAATTTGAGCAAGTCAGCATGACGAAAAGTCTCAAAATCCTCAATACTCAAGTCACACTGCACGCTTTTGAAATTACCGCGATCATGGCTCGACATACGCACGATTTACCTCAAGAACTGTTGCTCGCTGCACAGTTGTTGGTCCACGTCATCAATATTGTCGCTTATCTTTCAGCTTGGTTTTTATGTCGCCAATGCTCACTTAGCAGCCCCTTTCATCCCACTTTTAGTTAGTAAGTTGGTTTAGTACTTGAAAGGTCTAGCTAGATTTCGAGTGGATTTCGAGAGCGAGGGGTGGGTGATTCTGATTGATACCGTGCCGCATCAAAAATTCAAAAATACCTCTTGTCACACTGCACACGCAACAGCAGCGCGACGCACAAGAAAGTAGCACAAGATAATAAACGGCTACTCAGAATTAAATCCACTTCAGCTCAATTCCCAGAGTATCCAGCGCGTGGTGGAGATTTACAAGGACCGTACGCGTTGTCGTTCAAACTTTATTCTTGCAAAGAACGGCAACTGATTTGAACTGATTTGCTGCCGACGCGAACTCCTGTAGAGAAGGCAACTGTAATGATTGACTTCCCTGTAGAAAATAGTCAGGCAGCGGAGAGGAAGGGATGAGCTTGCGAGAGCGAGGGACTCGATCATGAGCAAAAATATTAAATAATTTTGTCACCAGCACCGAGAGCAGAGACAAGGTGGATCTAAAAAAGTATGAATCCTTCCTTGGACAATAAATTCCTCATGGCTTGTTACCTTCCACCGTACCAAGTTTATCACCTCAAGTTCACGCATTGTCCCAAATGTAAGTTCAAATTGTCGAAAGATAAGCGACAATATTGATGACACGGACCAAGTAGTTAATTGAGGTATATGCTGCCTGCTGGGGCCATTATGAACATTTAAACTTGCGAAAGAAACCACTGGTTTCCTTTTCAAACACTCTGCTCTTCTTTCCAACAGGTAACCAATTTCACGGTCCCCACTTCCAGCGCCCAACCCCAGGTAAGAACATATAGCAGGCATCACAGTCCACACTAGTATTTGCCACCGGCCCGGGGCCTTTCGGGGATGCATTACTGCCATTAGGCCTTGATCGCGCTACTTCCGAAAAGACACGTCACGACTTTTTCTATGACAACTGACGAAAAGGCCGGACAAACTTCTGGCAAATTGCTTCACGCTATCATCCTGATGTTGAAAGCCCTATTTGAATAGTTATGTTCTTGAATGCACTTGTCCAGCTCTCTTTGACAGTATGGCAGGGGACATGTATGGGATAGTACGCCACAGCCCCCTCACATGATGATGTACTGTTTAAGCAGAAATATTCGTCTGGAATTTAATTTCGTCTTTTTCGTCCAAGGAGCTTTTCGACTAAATTAAATGTAGGACTAATGTCGATTTGCCCTGGTTTTCAATACATTCTTATGATCCATGGACGAAATTTTCAACTGGACGAACTCCTTTTCTTTGGAGTTGGACGAAATTATTGACCGACGAAATGTTCTGCCTCTACAGTATAAACCAGCATAGTGGGATGGTCTAAGGCTGCGTTTACACGACAACGCACGGCCAGTTTTCCGCTTGCAGTCCCGCATTTATTTTTTTCGTTTTCGTGCGTTTACACGATCAAAGCTGACCAAGTAGACTAGGATGCAGGTTATGTTACATGTGTATCCCCGCGTTGAATCTCGAACGGGGCACAATATCTAACGTGTTAGCGAAAAATATCCTATTGATATCTCAAGAAATGTTACATGTATGGTGTTCCTTCTCCCCTGTGCTAGAGAAAAAGGAATAAAAAATAAATAAATGAAAATACAGGTGTGTGCTCGCTGTACTGTGTGCTCGCTGATTGGGAAACCTGTGCAAATCGCTACACTTTAGACTCTTCACACTTTCAACTCTTACAGTATCATTTAACACAGCCTGCCTGCACCTACGTTCATAATTAACAACGGACTGCCTATGCTTTATCTTTCTCTCTTCTTCTTCTTCTCCTTAGAAACCGTTCTAACTGTTGAGTTCCTGCGGAACCAGGAGAATGTCATGGCCGACGTCATCCGTCCAGAATTTTACGTTGATTCCCCCGGCTACAGTTTCGACTTCTCCCGCTGCGCCATAATCAATGACGCTCATGTACTCATGCGACTGACAAGTTTCAAACCTCAAAAGAGCGTACGTAGGGTCAAGTTCACCTTGCAGGAGTCTGACGCAATCATAAAGCACCTTGCCAACTGCTCACGCAACACAACTTGCTCCATGAACTGCACCAAAGAGTTTTACCAGCATACATCTACAGGATTTTATGACCAGTTCTCGTTTGATATTAAACCTCTTTGGCTGCGGAGCACGAACGACTCTCTTAGTAAGCTTATTGCTGTTGTTGTTGCTGCTGCTACTCCTGCTGCTGTCAGTTTTCGTTTTAAATCTTTATTCTGACGATGGCCTTAGGCCAATACGATGCTATAGTCTAATAGAGTGGGGTTACCTCACATGGAGGGTTCGCAATGCATGATTTAAAGAATTGCATTACAGGTCCTCCCTTGTTGGTAGATAATCAACATCAACAAGGTCATCCTATTATGAGACTCACCTTGTAACAGGACTTTCAACTAAAGATACAAGAAGCACTGATTCCTACTTATATGGGGTACCCTCAATACAACATAATTATCGACACTTCAACTCGTTATAAGATAATTGAAAATCTCCAACATAGCTGTTCCTTGGATGCAAAAGATCGTCCATATCTACAAATACATAGATAGAATATGAGCCAGGGACTATAGAAACCGCCCTACGACGTTTGATATCAAAATCAAGTTATGACGTTTCAAAGTCACGCGACTCAAAGTTACGCGAAGCGCAGAACTCGTCACTTTTGTTTTGACAAGACTCAAGAGCTGTCCTCTTGTTAAGTGTTCGGGGAAGGATTCCGAGCTCGAGCGATTGTCGAGTAACTCATGAGGCTCCACTTACTGTGATTGATTATGGCTACAACATCTAGTAGACGACGCAGCTCGATTCTGTGTGGAGTCGACTAGTCTCTGATGCGAAGGCGCTTGAATCGGACGACGAGAATTTTTACGGATTCAGCGCTGGCACCCGCGAGTCGTCCGCGAGCGATTCCGACACCGATGCTGACAGCGACGGCGATGATATGCCACCTAAGAAGAAGACGTATGGAGTCACAGCAAGCTCGAGTGCTGCTAGTGTTGTGTCGAAAACGCCAAGCCCCGACAGCTCGGAAATTTCAAACGCAGAGAGTGATACCCCCGCACCTGAGCCACCGACGACGGAGCAGGTGAAACGTGGTCTCCTGTCTTCAGACATACGCGATGGGATTGAGAGAGGCTGTGGATGCAAGTCGAAGAATCATTGGAAAGTCATCCCAGAGCAGCAGCTCGAGGACTACATATTTGAAGTCTCTAAACTGCGAGAATCGAAAAAGCGCTTCAAGCAGTTTGTTCTGGGCGCACTGACTGGAAGCATGTGAAAGTCGATGACTGGTGGTGGTGATCGACCTTTCTATTTCCGCTATCATGTACGTGGTTACAAGTTGTGCAAAGACGTGTTCATGGCAGTTCATGCTGTTGGAAGTCATGTAATGAAGCGCCTTCAAAAAAAGGCAAACAAAGGAGTCGTTCAACTGGCACACCATGGCTTGACTGAGAGAACACCAGAGCACTTGGCCATTTCAGCGGACATAGAGCAGTATGTAGTGCAGTTTATTTAGTCATATGCTAACATGTACAGTCTACCTCAACCTGCAGCGGAGCGAGGTCGTGCTGAGGACCCTCCAGTATACTTACCAGCATCCAAGAACAAAAAGTCTGCATACAACATCTATACCAAGACCGTCACATAGCATTCGCCTGTTCATTACAGGTCATTTTGCCACATTTGGAGGAGACAGGCAGCACACATCAAAGTGATGAAGCCAAGGATAGACGTATGCGCACTGTGTGACAATCTGCCGGACTAAATTCGTGTCGCCCGTACAGAGGAAGAGACGGAATGTAGTGTCCAGGCCCTGCGTTCGCACATATCACTAGCACAAGAGGAGCGGCAGTACTACCGAGATTTAGTGGACGGCGCGCAGGCGTCACTGGATGAAGCTGAGGGCATAGTTCACTATACATTTGAACTGCCTAACTAGCAAGACTGAAGATATACAAAGAACATTACAAACTGTGTACATGAATTTGCTCTATATCGCTCAATTGCCATTATTAAATAGGTGGCTAGGCACATTTTACCACCGCAGATCAACTTGAAATTTTGTTTGAGCACATTACCATACCATACCAACATTTTGAGAGAGAACTTTTTTTTCACCAAAAAGTGCCATAGGGTGGTTTCTGTAGTCCCTGGCTCATATGTTGTGTCTTTCTGCCGTATCCTATGCGGTTTGACCTTGGTTGTGCTTTTGTCAGTTTTATTTTATACTGAGGGTTTGGCACTCCAGGGACCTGGGCAAAGGGTCATAATACCAAATTTGATGTACTAACGAATTATGTTGTAACCGGACCTGTAAACAGTTGTATAGACCACATTTCGCCAGGGGATTTCAGATTTCTATTTACTCTAATTTCAGAAATTTTCGGTGCTCAATATTTTCGGTATGAGGGCAAAAGGCCAGGTTAGGTGAACAGAAATGTTCGGTACAGAGGAGCAATTCCCTATTGGATTATGTGTGTTAGTGTTTTTTTGGTGTATTGAAATTTTAGGTATGAAACAGACGCACCGAAAGTACCGAAAATAAAAGTACAGTCGAATGTCACTTATCTGACCACTTCGGGAATCAGGCATGTTGGATAACTGGATATGAAAGGATTTTGGTATTTTCATTTTCATCATTTTTTCGTTACAGCACTGCCATCGCATACAAGTAGTGTTGTCCTACTTACATTGCTGCGAGATCTATCGTATTATCTACACATACTTCGAGTAAATTAGTTCAGGTTGAAACTGTCCTAAGCACTTCTTTCCTTAGACTCTGACAGTTTCCTACCACCTTTTCCTTCTCCTGTTAGTACTTGGGTTACAATACCTATTCTCTCAGTTGAAGTGTAACGCCGAACCGTCTGACGCTTCTCTCGTGTTTGCAGTCTGATAATTATAGTAATGCATGCCTGTAAATAGTCTCATGTACCTGCTAGCTGCACATACATGTACACGTACCTCAATGCTAACATTCGACGCGACATGACATGTACATGTCCAATGTACATGTCCAATAGCCAAGTTTCACTGCACTTTGGAAATTTAGTTTTGACACTGTAAGGCCATCATTTTTTATTATCTATGTTTCGCGTCGTCCGCACGCATACGTTTTGCCTTTTTTTCGGAAAAAAATAAAAAATCGAACATACACAGTGAGTGTACGATCGTGCGAGTCATCAGCACAGTGTGGACAGGTTGCATACGGCGAAGCTGGGATTCAGGAATGGCCTCGGCGCCAGCGTTGGTAAATCGTTTGTTCAGCATCTGCGAGCAGTATTCTATGAGCTTACACCAGACCGCATCGATTGCCTCAAGCTGAGAGGATGCGTCGTTCCGGACCTCTTTGCACCGCTGCTGAAGTCTGAGTACAATAATCCAGCAAAGCATGGGCACCAGCGGTTGCCTCGTCTGTCCAAAGTGAATATTTGCTCATGCTGATAACCCAGATGTTGTGCTTGGATGTAGCATTTTTCTTTCGAATGTACACCATGCACGAGCTATTGTGCTATGTACAGCTTTAGCTAATTCTATACACCTCTGATGAGCCTTTTTATTATTTTGCAATTTTTTATTTCTTTCCACCTCTCGCATATGATTCTGGAAGTTGAGCTGACGCGAAACATAGATATAAAAAATGATGGCCTAAAAGTACAGTACTTGTCGCCGTACTGTATCTACTGCTTATTCTGAGCAAAATGAGGTGCTACTTGGCCATATACGTGTCAGTAAAAATGGATATAGGAGCAATTCTAGTTAGGTTGCCATGGTAATAACGGCCTTCTCTATTTTGATGTTTTTCACCATGTTCGGACACGATTCGGCAATCGAAACCTATGCCATCGTGTTCAGGAGGCAAAAACCATCCAGGAATGATCATAAAATCCATGTTAGCAAACATGTGTCAAGTAAAAGTGAGAAATTTCAAATGGGCCCTAGGACTATTGAGCCATAAATATATGTAGAAAGGCAAAGGACGCATTATTATTATTATTATTATTGGGGCTCCCCGCGTGCTAGTTTGTACGTGAAGTGTGTGGGTTACAGTGAGGGCTGCGTCCCACCCGCCTGTGTAGATTCACAGGAAGTGTGAGTTACGAAGTCTGAAGAAAATGTTGAACGGCCTCTGCAGGGATGACGACTACACCATTGCTCAGTGGTTAGAGCATTGCTGGCTACAAGCGAGGGTCCCTGGTTCGAGTCCTGGTGGTGACAGTCAATTTTTTCTTCAGACCTTTCCCGTTTGTCTCTTTCCCTCAAACCAGTTAATATTATTATTATTATTATTATTTGGAAAGGATTGGGAGAACTTCAAATTCAAAGGATCAGTCGGGGAAGTGAACTGCCTGAAAAGAGAAAAAAACGCCAGACCCACCAGGACTCGAACCTGGGACCCTGCTTGTCATGAGCAATGCTCTAACCACTGAGCTATGGGACCATGAGCTATGGGATTTAATCACTTTCTTTCACCTCTGGTAGTTTCCAGAAACTGACCGTGGTTGGTCCCCTGGGGGAGGGAAAAAGACCCAAGTGCCATCAGTATGTGTGGCACGTGTTGTGAGCTGCCTTTGGAGTGTAAAACTTGTCAGCGCCTTCTAGGTTCAGCCTGGTCCCATAGCTCAGTGGTTAGAGCATTGCTCATGACAAGCAGGTTCCCAGGTTCGAGTCCTGGTGGGTCTGGCATTTTTTTTTCTTTTCAGGCAGTTCACTTCCCCGACTGATCCTTTGAATTTGAAGTTCTCCCAATCCTTTCCAAATTGAATCACTTTCTTTCACCTCTGGTAGTTTCCAGAAACTGACCGTGGTTGGTCCCCTGGGGGAGGGAAAAAGACCCAAGTGCCATCAGTATGTGTGGCACGTGTTGTGAGCTGCCTTTGGAGTGAAAAACTTGTCAGCGCCTTCTAGGTTCAGCCTGGTCCCATAGCTCAGTGGTTAGAGCATTGCTCATGACAAGCAGGGTCCCAGGTTCGAGTCCTGGTGGGTCTGGCGTTTTTTTCTCTTTTCAGGCAGTTCACTTCCCCGACTGATCCTTTGAATTTGAAGTTCTCCCAATCCTTTCCAAATTTAATCACTTTCTTTCACCTCTGGTAGTTTCCAGAAACTGACCGTGGTTGGTCCCCTGGGGGAGGGAAAAAGACCCAAGTGCCATCAGTATGTGTGGCACGTGTTGTGAGCTGCCTTTGGAGTGAAAAACTTGTCAGCGCCTTCTAGGTTCAGCCTGGTCCCATAGCTCAGTGGTTAGAGCATTGCTCATGACAAGCAGGGTCCCAGGTTCGAGTCCTGGTGGGTCTGGCGTTTTTTTCTCTTTTCAGGCAGTTCACTTCCCCGACTGATCCTTTGAATTATTATTATTATTATTATTATTCGAATTGTAGTTAGACCGCTTTGTCAAATCGCCTACTGGTCTCGTCATCGTCCAGTGACAATCGACATTCTTTGTTCCGTTGGGACTGTAGCTTGTGCTCGTTTTCGTTGCGCTTGCCTTCCCCTCTTTGGTCTTTCCATAACCTTGAACCTTCCAAGTTGGAAGGCTGTCGGTTAGCGCTACGGAGATGTGTTGAAGCTAGGTGTCAGGACGTCGAATGTCTCAGTACTCTGTCAGTTTTGTGCCTAGTTGTTGCACTTTCTGACTGTATATAGTATATAGTTACAGTGGTGGAGAGTTACTCTTAACTCGTTTCCATATGTCCTTTTCCTTTCTACATTATTATTATTATTATTATTAACTGGTTTGAGGGAAAGAGACAAACGGGAAAAGTCTGAAGAAAAAAATTGACTGTCACCACCAGGACTCGAACCAGGGACCTTCGCTTGTAGCCAGCGATGCTCTAACCACTATTAGGCCAAACTAAAGAAGGTGTGTGGTTCGACTCACCCGACCGACCGTACAATTTCAGCCCGACCGTAACTTTTTTTCGGCGGGCTGTCGTGTGACTGACGTACGTGGACTGAACACGTCCACGTCTACGTGCTGTGCGGCGTGAGTCTGCGGACGCAGGCGGCTCCTTTTGGACTTGACTTGTAGTTGTACTGCAGTGCAGTGCATGCAGTGAGTGGTACGGCTGCTGCCTTGTGCTGGTAGTAGAGTCTACTCGATACGCGTATACAGTGTATTTACATGTACTAAAAAATATATTAAAAAAAAAAAATCCGCCCGCCCGCCCGTAAAAAAAATGTCCATGTTAGTCGAACCACACACCTTCTTTAGTTTGGCCTTATTTAAAAATTCGACGAGGAGACAATAATTTTAATATGGCAATAAGTAGGACGAGCTGAAGCGACATGTGGACTACTTTATTAACAATGTAAGCGATGGAGACCATGCAAGAAACAACCTAAAGGGTAAGGAAAAATACATGTAAGAAGAAAAAGGGCAATGGAAAAAAAAGATGATTCGAACAAGTTTTCGTACAACACTCTTCAGGAATCACCGTTGTACCTTTTTCTTCTTACATGTATTTTTCCTTACCCTTTAGGTTGTTTCTTGCATGGTCTTCATCGCTTACATTGTTAATAAAGTAGTCCACATGTCGCTTCAGCTCATCCTACTTATTGCCATATTAAAATTATTATTATTATTATTGAAAAGAAAGGTTTGCTCCCCACACCGGAGCTCGCGCTATTCCGCCGACTTTACTTACTGGATGGCAGTCGTGAGTCAGTCAAGTGTCAAGTAAAGTCGGCGGAATAGCGCGAGCTCCGGTGTGGGGAGCAAACCTTTCTTACAAATCATCGCCGAAGTCGCAACCACTACTTCGTATTATTATTATTATTTAAATAGGCGTCGAGGCGACAATAGTTTTAGAATTGCGATCAACAGAACGAGCTGAACCGACATTTCACAAAGGCTTTTATTGTATTCAAAAAACGAGTGGATACGAAGGCAGTGAAGAACATGGAACTCACACAATCATTCTCGCTCTCACACTCACCGGACTCACTGGACTCACTGGTCGAATCCTCCTCAACGACGTCCTGCCTTGGAGCAATCAGGTCCCGTCTCCTCCCATCCCTTGTCTCACGCTCCTGTTGTGCATTCCGTTGGCTCTGTACTTCCGTACTGAAATAGGTCATGGTGTAATTCGCAGTTGTTCTTCTGGGTCTCGTTGATATTGAGGTAGGTATTGTTTTCGTCTCTGCCGGTGATGCAGCAAGCGATGATGACGCAAACGCGTCTGCATGCAACACACGTGGCGTCGCCAAAGCCACATCCACCGCACTGGTGGAGGGAGTGACTTGGTCATGGCCACGGGAGCCAATAGTGGACTTGCCAAGTGGGATTGTGTGAGTTAAGCTGTGTTCACAACTGGCGCGTGTACGCGTGAAACCACGCGTTTGTGCGTATATTTGCTGGCTTTTGGGGCGCCATGCGTACGGAAACGCGCCGAAATGGAACTTCCAACATGTTGGAATTTTCAGCGCGCATCGGGCGCGTATCAGCGTACATGCCAGTCACTTTGACTGGCGGGGTCAAAAAATTAGTACTCGAAGGTGCTAAATACGACTCGGATTGCTGTTTTTTGTGAAAGGCTGAGCGCGCGTTTGGGGGCGCATGAACCGCAAGCGTACCGCGACCACGCGCCAGTTGTGAACACAGCTTAAGAGTGGGTGCGAGCGTGTGTTTTCTAGTAGGAAGTCATCAGTGTATAAGCATCTTGTATCTCGTCCTGATTGCTGCAAGGTGTATTCTGATTCTTCTTTTTCTGTTTTGTGCCGTGCTCGTCATGGTTATAAGTTGCAGTTGAGTGTGTTAGAAGCTGTTTGTCAACGTATTCATAAGCCTAATCTGTGTGTCCAGAAGGACAGCATTATTCGTTTGAAATTGTTCTAGTAGCAGCTTGTTCTGTTTGTTTGGCCCTGGTTGGCCATGGTGTCATATCTTGTGTCACAGTATACTAGTAGTCTTTACAGGTTCGTTAAGTGCTTTCGCAGTTTTTCCTGTTATTACCTTAGTGCTAGGATTATCATTTTCATAGGTGTTGTTTCTTCTCACTCCATTTCTCTTTATTAGTATCTTTCTGGATTGTTTTTCATTAGTACAACGTAGCTTCCTGAGGAGTGTTGTGCGAAAACTAGTTCGAAGTACGATTTTTTGTTCATCATTTTCTCCATATCACATTTTTTCTTTCTTCCATGTTCTTCACTGCCTTCGTATCCACTCGTTTTTTGAATACAATAAAAGCCTTTGTGAAATGTCGGTTCAGCTCGTTCTGTTGATCGCAATTCTAAAATTATTATTATTATTATTAACTGGTTTGAGGGAAAGAGACAAACGGGAAAAGTCTGAAGAAAAAATTGACTGTCACCACCAGGACTCGAACCAGGGACCCTCGCTTGTAGCCAACGATGCTCTAACCACTGAGCTATGGTGTAGTCATTATTATTATTATTATTGCAATGAAAAATATCAATTGTGCACTCATAACCATGTATAAACAATTAAAATGAAACAATTCCAGAACGTTTTCGTGTGACCATCATCAGTGGAACATCGTCACATAGTAAGAATCACTAAAACAACCAGTTATATAGCTAGAGTAACATGAAAAGAAGCGTGAGAATGCAGCACAGCTAGCGGTTATGCATAACACGTGTAGTGTGAACCTTTGCAGTGTATCTGAGAATGGTAGCAGTAGATGAATGTGGCAGCTGTGAGTGCGTGTGAACAAAAACTGGTCGTAAGTTGTTTGACGATTCCTGGTTTAGTGTTATTTGTCGCGCGCGTTTCTTTAAGCAGTTGCAGGTGTTGGAAGCTGTATATATTCGCACACGTGACCCTGTTCTATGCAAGCAAAAAGAAAATGTTGTAGCACTCACACTTTTTAAATAATACGCACTCACCAGTTTTTGTTCACACGCACTCACAGCTGCCACATTCATCTACTGCTACCATTCTCAGATACACTGCAAAGGTTCACACTGCACGTGTTATGCATAACCGCTAGCTGTGCTGCATTCTCACGCTTCTTTTCATGCTACTCTAGCTATATAACTGGTTGTTTTAGTGATTCTTACTATGTGACGATGTTCCACTGATGATGGTCACACGAAAACGTTCTGGAATTGTTTCATTTTAATTGTTTATACATGGTTATGAGTGCACAATTGATATTTTTCATTGCTATTTTACGACTGTTGTCTCCTCGTCGGTTATTATTATTATTATTATTATTATTATTCAAAGGATCAGTCGGGGAAGTGAACTGCCTGAAAAGAGAAAAAAACGCCAGACCCACCAGGACTCGAACCTGGGACCCTGCTTGTCATGGGCAATGCTCTAACCACTGAGCTATGGGACCAGGCTGAACCTAGAAGGCGCTGACAAGTTTTTCACTCCAGTTTTTCACTCCAGTTTTTCAGGCAGTTCACTTCCCCGACTGATCCTTTGAATATGAAGTTCTCCCAATCCTTTTCCAAATTATTATTATTATTATTATTATCTGAGTTTCAAATTATTATTATTATTATTATTATTATTATCTGAGTTTCAAATTATTATTATTATTATTCAAGTAAAGTCGGCGGAATAGCGCGAGCTCCGGTGTGGGGAGCAAACCCTTTTCTTACAAATCATCGCCGAGGTCGCAACCACTACTTCGTATTATTATTATTATTATTATTATTACATACATTACGCAAAGAACAAAGGGAATATGTTGAAATAAATGTTCCTAATCGATTTTCTATTGTGAGACAATTTCCCCTGATGATAGTCTCAAGAAAATCGATTAGGAACCTTAATGTCAACATATTCTCTCTGTTCTTTGCGTAATGTCCGCTTCGCTATAATTTTATCGCTGTAAAAGAACTGAAGTTATGATCCAAAGAACTTGAAAATACAGAATTTTGACATTTTCCTGTGGTGTATGAGCAAGTGTGTATGCCTGAGAGAGAGGCTAGTAAAATGACTAGGGGAAGTGCAGGCGGGCGACTCTCTTTCGCCGGCTTGTGCGTATTGTGTGCGGCTGAAAGGGAAGAGTTATCTGGTATCTTTGTGTTGCTTCAGCTTCCTTCGGCAGTGACCCAGATTCCGTTCCCACATATCACAGTAAGTGACCATACGTATTGGAAAGCTAAGATATTCGGCGCAGTTGCAATTGCTGTCCTGCACAATACCCCTCTCCCCATCCCATCCCCATCCGAATTATTGAGGAGCATGCTGACATGTGATGCAAAAGCGACGAGGTTGAAGGTATGCCTTGAGAACTACCCTTCCTTACAGTCCATTCATTGAAAACTGGCACCCTAACCTTTTGGTGTCTCTCTCACATAGTTGTACATATCAAGAAAACTACAGTACATCCTGGATTGTGTGACCCGTGCAATTATTCCTTGCCAGCAGTTGAGACCTGAAAAGTCCAAGAACAAGGAAATCGAAATTTAGCCAGGTTTTACAAAACTGGGACAGGTATTCCATGGCAAAATGTATGGAGAAGCAGATCCCAAATCCAGATTCTTGAGATTTAACGTGGGTTTTTGATCCTCAATTCGGCCCAAATCAGACTTTCAAAAGCCAGGGATGAATGGACTGTTGGTCAAGCTCATTGAAACAAAAGGTCTGCATCCAGGCCTTTCTCATTAGGTCAAAGCTACAATCGTGCTATTTCTAGTGACTGCACAGCAGATATGGACGGTCCCTAAATGTAATAAGCAAGGGATATACACAGGGTGCGCTTCAACCTGATCTATGAACATTTGTTTCACCCCTACTACCGGGTTGAGTAGAGTAGAGCCATTCTACCGACAGAGGTAGACAGTAGAGGTATTGCACGAACGCTGTCCTACCGGATTTAGTAGCTTTTCACGATATGTACGTGATCTGTTTCTCTTCCGTATGGCGTTGTGTACAACTCCTTGGTCTTGCTGGAAATCCCATACCTCTACCAACTTCTACGACCTTCAAACCTGGTAGAGAAATGTAGCATCTACTCTTTTGAGTAGGAAAAAAGGAACGCATCTCCCGCAAGAAGTAGTCTCTGCTCAAACCTGTAGATCAAAAACGAACACCCCTTGCCCTACTAATATGGGTAGATTTATTATTGTGCAATCATATTAATTTGTTTGCAATCTCTGTTACCACTAGGGGCGCGTTTGGTTGGTACGAACTAGAACAGGATTCACCAGAACAGCGCGTTTGGTTGGGACTGCACCTGTTCTGGGTCGGCCAGAACATGTTCTGCTTGCTCCGGCCTCGAGGCCGGAGCAGACCGAGCAGTTTCACTTTTTCACAGTGAAACCTGGCGGGAACATCGATTTTGTTCCCAAATGATCACGTGCATACGCTTTTAGGTTGGACTCGTCGTACCGTACAAAGTGACCATGGTGATCCATACACATTTTGAAAAATGCACCAAGTTTGGCACATTTTTCCACAAAAATGTGCTCTGTTTCTGGAGTAGCGTTTGGTTGGCATGAGGCTGCTCCATGTGCACCAGCTGTTCGATCCTGTTCTAGATCGTACCAACCGAACGCACCCTAGGTAAAACTCCTCAGTGTTTTCCTACATTTTCCACTCGGGTCGGGATCAATACAGTTGGATTCCGTTAAGGATACAGAACCATGATGCCATCAATTCTTTTTCGTCGCCATGTCCTCACCCACTGCTGGTTTCTAGAAGTCAATATAATATATTATACAAGTGGAATCCTAATAATTCGAATTTGGCCTAATTCGAACATACCCCTTAACCCTTTACCGGCAGCCCCATACTTGAATGCGAATGCGTCGTAAACGACGCATTCGACATGCATACTAAAATCATGCCTGGTATGACAGGAAGCATCAGCCCACGGGGATTTCCCTTGGCCCTCACACAGCCTTGGTATGATCCTATCCGTAGCTGAAGAGATCTAGGCGTGTCCCATTTGATTTCATTGAGAACTGCGCGATCGAAAACTTACGAAAATACACGCGCGCCGACAATGCCGTCTGCCTCCGTCAAAACGTCGTCAGGTGCATTTCCCCTTGCGCAGTGAGTTTTTTCGTCCTCAGATGACTTCTCCGACAAGGACCTAGCAGACCTTCGCTCTGGGACCTACGACAGATAGATAAATACTTCATTCCAGCCGCCGATGCAAGCGAATTTCAAATTGCGGAGCGGAGCGCACGTCAAGTAAATTCTCACGCAAATATCGGGAGCTCCAGCCGCTGAAGACAATGTCGTTGTGATGTACCTGGAAGAATCTGATGGTGCTTATGGTGGGGAAGCCATGGAGAGTGATCCCCGTGTCGACAGTTTCCCTGAGACGAAATTTTAGGCCATCGACTTTCTACGTACCTGAGTGACGGCAGCGCAGCGCGACTTGCGCACGACCTTACGGAGCCATCGGACAGCGATTCTGGGGCGATGCTGATCTCAATTGCGAGCGAGGCACGGCCACTGAAGTCGGTGATGGCTATGGCGTTCGTTTCCGCTCCGAAGTCGACTTGTTTTGGCAGTATCATGTCAATGTCGGAATCTGACGATTTGCAATAATGTCCAATTTCCGTGTTTAGACGTATAGGTGCCAATTTAGCAGCGTATGTGTGTGGTATGTGAAAATAAATTTTTCCATGGTCAAGAAGTAGTACCAGACTTCCAAGAAAACATAACTTGCACATACAAAATGTGCCCTTGTTGTGAGTTATTGGCATCCTTCTCTATGTTATGGATTTCATATACAAAATGCACTTGCCGGTAAAGGGTTAATTAGAAGTTTTCCAGGACCGATTTATATCAATACAATTCCCACATAAAAAAATCTGATAATTAGAACCTCGCACTGGATATGTCCGGTTAATTAGAAGTCCCACAGATTCCACTTACATAGAAAATGTGTGGGATTTGTGCTGATAATTCGAAGTCAGCAAAGTGTAATTCGAAGTTCACTGTACATTGTACTGGTCAGTTCAGTTTGCATGTACAGCGCCTCCAGTGTGAATCAAACTGGAAAACATCTGCTCACCATCACTATTATCAGCTGAAATTGCTAAGCTAGCGGATATTCTGCGTTCTAACGGTTACCCACTCAAAGTACTCAAGCGAGTCATGACAAGCGTTCTTGAACCTAGCCCAGATATAGCTTCTGCACAACTTGAATCTGCAACGCGCATTATCACAAAATTGCCGTGGAAAGGGCAAAATTGCATTGCCTTCCGCAAAAAGATTAAAGCTGCAATTTTGAACTGCTATCCTAAAGTATCCCCCATTGTAATTTATACAACCAGGCCCGCATTCAGGTCTATCGTGAAGGATGTTTCACCAACTCTTGAAAATAGTAATTTTATTTATAAGTATGCGTAGGGTTTATCGGGTGTTAGCGGCCGTCGTGAGTTCCCTTCGGGAACGGACACGATAATTTACTTTTTTTTACTTTTTTTATGCGTGTCGCTGTGAGCGGACGTACGTTGGTGAGACATGTCAGCGATTCTCGGAAAGAATCAAGCAGCATATCCCAGACAAGCTGTACAAGAAGCCGCCTGACAAACGTGTGGCAACAAGTGATAGCGCCATCACAAAGCATTTGCAGGCGCAACCTGAATGCATCCCCCAGGAACGCAACAGCAGCTTCAGTGTCAGCACACCAGCCCCGAACAGCGCGCACCGATTCACACTGGAGGCGCTGTACATTCGCAGTTTGAGGCCAGAACTGTGTGGACAAAAGAAGCACATCAAGGTGCTGCGGCTGTTCAAGCTGCAACCGGACTGACAACTTTATCACGTGTTTGTTCTGGTACTGAATTCCCTTCATGTGTTGTTTCCCGCATTTTTCCACCGCTCCATACATTCTTATGGTAGTGTAGTGTGAACTTGAGGCGCGTAAGAATATTCTTGCTGATTCTCTACCCCCAGTAAATATATATATATATATATATATATAGTTTGAGCACTCTGGCAAGGTACGTTCGGGCCTGATTGGAAATTTTTATTTCCATTGCTATCAGGTTCGGCCTCATTTCCTCTGTGCTGCGCTGATGAGTTCAAAAAGAACGAAACAGCATGCTGTCCGCAGATTGAGTATATATATATATATATATATATATATATATATATATATATACTCAATCTGCGGACAGCATGCTGTTTCGTTCTTTTTGAACTCATCAGCGCAGCACAGAGGAAATGAGGCCGAACCTGACAGCAATGGAAATAAAAATTTCCAATCAGGCCCGAACGTACCTTGCCAGAGTGCTCAAACTGACAAGTCAGTGAGCTCTGCATAACGCAAACAGCAAAGGCACTACCCCACGCAAGAGTGCTCAACTGCTACAAGAGGAGGAGCGAAATACTCAATCTGCGGACAGCATGCTGTTTCGTTCTTTTTGAACTCATCAGCGCAGCACAGAGGAAATGAGGCCGAACCTGACAGCAATGGAAATAAAAATTTCCAATCAGGCCCGAACGTACCTTGCCAGAGTGCTCAAACTGACAAGTCAGTGAGCTCTGCATAACGCAAACAGCAAAGGCACTACCCCACGCAAGAGTGCTCAACTGCTACAAGAGGAGGAGCGAAATACTCAATCTGCGGACAGCATGCTGTTTCGTTCTTTTTGAACTCATCAGCGCAGCACAGAGGAAATGAGGCCGAACCTGACAGCAATGGAAATAAAAATTTCCAATCAGGCCCGAACGTACCTTGCCAGAGTGCTCAAACTGACAAGTCAGTGAGCTCTGCATAACGCAAACAGCAAAGGCACTACCCCACGCAAGAGTGCTCAACTGCTACAAGAGGAGGAGCGAAATACTCAATCTGCGGACAGCATGCTGTTTCGTTCTTTTTGAACTCATCAGCGCAGCACAGAGGAAATGAGGCCGAACCTGACAGCAATGGAAATAAAAATTTCCAATCAGGCCCGAACGTACCTTGCCAGAGTGCTCAAACTGACAAGTCAGTGAGCTCTGCATAACGCAAACAGCAAAGGCACTACCCCACGCAAGAGTGCTCAACTGCTACAAGAGGAGGAGCGAAATACTCAATCTGCGGACAGCATGCTGTTTCGTTCTTTTTGAACTCGTCAGCGCAGCACAGAGGAAATGAGGCCGAACCTGACAGCAATGGAAATAAAAATTTCCAATCAGGCCCGAACGTACCTTGCCAGAGTGCTCAAACTGACAAGTCAGTGAGCTCTGCATAACGCAAACAGCAAAGGCACTACCCCACGCAAGAGTGCTCAACTGCTACAAGAGGAGGAGCGAAATACTCAATCTGCGGACAGCATGCTGTTTCGTTCTTTTTGAACTCATCAGCGCAGCACAGAGGAAATGAGGCCGAACCTGACAGCAATGGAAATAAAAATTTCCAATCAGGCCCGAACGTACCTTGCCAGAGTGCTCAAACTGACAAGTCAGTGAGCTCTGCATAACGCAAACAGCAAAGGCACTACCCCACGCAAGAGTGCTCAACTGCTACAAGAGGAGGAGCGAAATACTCAATCTGCGGACAGCATGCTGTTTCGTTCTTTTTGAACTCATCAGCGCAGCACAGAGGAAATGAGGCCGAACCTGACAGCAATGGAAATAAAAATTTCCAATCAGGCCCGAACGTACCTTGCCAGAGTGCTCAAACTGACAAGTCAGTGAGCTCTGCATAACGCAAACAGCAAAGGCACTACCCCACGCAAGAGTGCTCAACTGCTACAAGAGGAGGAGCGAAATACTCAATCTGCGGACAGCATGCTGTTTCGTTCTTTTTGAACTCATCAGCGCAGCACAGAGGAAATGAGGCCGAACCTGACAGCAATGGAAATAAAAATTTCCAATCAGGCCCGAACGTACCTTGCCAGAGTGCTCAAACTGACAAGTCAGTGAGCTCTGCATAACGCAAACAGCAAAGGCACTACCCCACGCAAGAGTGCTCAACTGCTACAAGAGGAGGAGCGAAATACTCAATCTGCGGACAGCATGCTGTTTCGTTCTTTTTGAACTCATCAGCGCAGCACAGAGGAAATGAGGCCGAACCTGACAGCAATGGAAATAAAAATTTCCAATCAGGCCCGAACGTACCTTGCCAGAGTGCTCAAACTGACAAGTCAGTGAGCTCTGCATAACGCAAACAGCAAAGGCACTACCCCACGCAAGAGTGCTCAACTGCTACAAGAGGAGGAGCGAAATACTCAATCTGCGGACAGCATGCTGTTTCGTTCTTTTTGAACTCATCAGCGCAGCACAGAGGAAATGAGGCCGAACCTGACAGCAATGGAAATAAAAATTTCCAATCAGGCCCGAACGTACCTTGCCAGAGTGCTCAAACTGACAAGTCAGTGAGCTCTGCATAACGCAAACAGCAAAGGCACTACCCCACGCAAGAGTGCTCAACTGCTACAAGAGGAGGAGCGAAATACTCAATCTGCGGACAGCATGCTGTTTCGTTCTTTTTGAACTCATCAGCGCAGCACAGAGGAAATGAGGCCGAACCTGACAGCAATGGAAATAAAAATTTCCAATCAGGCCCGAACGTACCTTGCCAGAGTGCTCAAACTGACAAGTCAGTGAGCTCTGCATAACGCAAACAGCAAAGGCACTACCCCACGCAAGAGTGCTCAACTGCTACAAGAGGAGGAGCGAAATACTCAATCTGCGGACAGCATGCTGTTTCGTTCTTTTTGAACTCATCAGCGCAGCACAGAGGAAATGAGGCCGAACCTGACAGCAATGGAAATAAAAAATTCCAATCAGGCCCGAACGTACCTTGCCAGAGTGCTCAAACTGACAAGTCAGTGAGCTCTGCATAACGCAAACAGCAAAGGCACTACCCCACGCAAGAGTGCTCAACTGCTACAAGAGGAGGAGCGAAATACTCAATCTGCGGACAGCATGCTGTTTCGTTCTTTTTGAACTCATCAGCGCAGCACAGAGGAAATGAGGCCGAACCTGACAGCAATGGAAATAAAAATTTCCAATCAGGCCCGAACGTACCTTGCCAGAGTGCTCAAACTGACAAGTCAGTGAGCTCTGCATAACGCAAACAGCAAAGGCACTACCCCACGCAAGAGTGCTCAACTGCTACAAGAGGAGGAGCGAAATACTCAATCTGCGGACAGCATGCTGTTTCGTTCTTTTTGAACTCATCAGCGCAGCACAGAGGAAATGAGGCCGAACCTGACAGCAATGGAAATAAAAATTTCCAATCAGGCCCGAACGTACCTTGCCAGAGTGCTCAAACTGACAAGTCAGTGAGCTCTGCATAACGCAAACAGCAAAGGCACTACCCCACGCAAGAGTGCTCAACTGCTACAAGAGGAGGAGCGAAATACAACCGGACTGACAACTTTATCAAGTGCTTGTTCTGGTACTGCATTCCCTTCATGTGTTGTTTCTGGCTTCGTTTTCGTTCTTGCTCATTCCCATGTAACTACTGATGAAAATGGGTGAAAAGCTTTTAGTATTATGAAATTAACAACCTTGTTGTTGTGTGTATATTGTGTGTTGTGTGTATATAAATTTTGTTCGTCTACCTCTCTATTTAGCTCGTAGCTGTACTGATGAGGCCTTTATGGCCGAAACAGCTTGCTGTCTACAGCATTGGGTATTACGCTCCTCGGCTTTCGCCTTGTTGAGCACTCTTAGTAGGCTGCTCTAGTGCTGCTGCATCGCGCAATGCTCGCTACATTTTGTAGTTTGAGCACTCTGGCGCTAGAGCGACGAGCTACCTTAATGTCTGTGGTGCCTCCTTTGCACCATGGCTGGTAGCTCGGCCTATTTAGCTCGTAGCTGTACTGATGAGGCCTTTATGGCCGAAACAGCTTGCTGTCTACAGCATTGGGTATATATATATATATATAAATAGAGAGGTAGACGAACAAAATTTATATACACACAACAACAAGGTTGTTAATTTCATAATACTAAAAGCTTTTCACCCATTTTCATCAGTAGTTACATGGGAATGAGCAAGAACGAAAACGAAGCCAGAAACAACACATGAAGGGAATGCAGTACCAGAACAAGCACTTGATAAAGTTGTCAGTCCGGTTGCAGCTCGAACAGCCGTAGCACCTTGATGTGCTTCTTTTGTCGACACAGATCTGGCCTCAAACTGCGAATGTATAGCGCCTCCAGTGTGAATCGGTGCGCGCTGTTCGGGGCTGGTGTGATGACACTGAAGCTGCTGTTGCGTTCCTGCGGGATGCATTCAGGCTGGGCCTGCAGATGCTTTGTGATGGCGCTATCACTTGTTGCCACATGTTTGTCAGGCGGCTGCTTGTACAGCTTGTCTGGGATATGTCTGCTTGATCCTTTCCGAGAATCGCTGACATGTCTCACCAACGTACGTCCGCTCACAGCGACATGCATACTTATAAATAAAATTACTATTTTCAAGAGTTGGTGAAACATCCTTCGCGATAGACGTGAATGCGGGCCTGGTTGTATAAATTACAATGGGAGATACTGTAGGATAGCAGGTCAAAATTGCAGCTTTAATCTTTTTGCGGAAGGCAATACAATTTTGCCCTTTCCACGGCAATTTTGTGATAATACGCGTTGCAGATTCAAGTTGTGCAGAAGCTATATCTGGGCTAGGTTCAAGAACGCTTGTCATGACTTGCTTGAGTACTTTGAGTGGGTAACCGTTTGAGTGGGTAACCGTTAAAACACAGAATATCCTCTAGCTTAGTAATTTCAGCTGATAATAGTGATGGTGAGCAGATGTTTATAGCTCATTAACTTTCAGAGCTAAAAACATCTGCTCACCATCACTATTATCAGCTGAAATTGCGATACATACATGTACAGGCTATCCACGATTTTTGTAGCTTACACCACAATTGAAATTTTGCATAGCAAAAACTGCTATGTAAAAACCTGACAAATATATGTGTGTGTGTGTGTGTGTGTATGTGTGTGTGTGTGTGTGTATGTGTGTGTGTGTGTGTGTGTGTGTGTGTGCGTGTGCGTGTGCACGAGCGTGTGCATGCGTGCGGGTGCACATGCATGCGACAATCCGTGTGTGTGTGCATGCGCGCGCGTGTGCGTGTGCGCGTGGGTTTCCAATGCTCTTGGTCGCATCTGCTCATTTGCCTCTAGATCGGCTTGCTACACCACAGCCTTTGTATTGTAAGTTTGCTGCCTTGCACTGTCATCATGTCTCCATTAGTCCTGCAGCTTCTACCACTATACTTTAGCAAAAGATAATGTAAGAGCAACTACAAAAAAAGTGAGGTCGGATGTTGAGCCAATGTGATCATATATAATTAAAAAAGGAAGGACAAAAACCAGATCATAATACTAGTACGGGTGACGGTGTCATATTTTCGGTATCTCCCAAAAATCAACGGATTAGTAGTGCAGATCCAAAAATCCAGATCCAAAAATGCATTCTGCACACTGCGTGCGGCACGGCATGCTTTAATTTTAGGTCGCGTTTTATTCTAAGTAAAGAATTACCTGCACCGAAGTTACCGAAAGTAAACCTGCACCGAAATTTTCCACATGTATAGCACAGTAAGAGCTGGTTTTAAAAAGCGACCACGCCACGGTGCAACGGTGCAAGCAAAATCGATCGTTAAAGCTACAGAAAGAGTTACAATCAGGTTTTGGTCTTTAAAAAGTATGAAGATAAGGGAAATTTGGACAACAAAGTACATAGAATGGCTTGTTAGGACACGGCAAATTGTTCTGTGAAGGTTTCGGAACAATTGGACAAGCTGTTAAGGAGTTAGAATTTCGGCCAGGTTTCCGACCTTTTCCCATGGTTTACAATTTGCCCTGGAAACCAGTATCGATTTTTTTATCAAAACCCACGATTTATCCTTTCCTTTTTGGCCTTGTGGTTATGAATGCTGTCTGCTGACCATGAAGTTGTGAGTTCAAATCCCAAACTATATTCAAGTCAAACTCTTTTTTTTCATTGTTTTGGTGATCATGCTGGTAGATCTACAAAAAGTACAAGCCAAAGAAGTGGCTGCGACTTGTATTGTTGTTGGAGCTCGCGTTTCCTGCCGAACTTACTGACACTTGACTGGTTCACGCCATGTGAACACACCCACAACACTGACACGGTGTGAGTGAACACAGAAGTCATTGCGCTGTAGCTACTTGTTGTTGAATACACCGGCACATCGAGAATTATTTTTTTTTTTTCGAGAATTATTTTAGTATTTCAAGATCCCCAAATCCGCTATCGTTGCACAATACTGCTCATCCAGTGCATTTGCAGATTTGCTTGCTTCTCTTGCGACGGGCGTATACATGGTACATGGTACATGGTACATGGTGTGTGTGTGTGTGTGTGTGTGTGTGTGTATGTGCGTGTGTGTGTGTGTGTCAGCTAGTTCGGTTGGTGGGTACACTTATGCCGGATAGTGTTGGGTCTGTTGCCAACGAGCTCGGCTGCTTGAAGGTGTAATGTTGTACTTGGTCCGGCTCATCGCAATTGTCGCTTATCTATCGCCACTAAGAACAGGAGTTTTCTTGCCGCTCTGTGAAATTTTCAATAGGCATAGTGAGGAAGCATGATACATGAATACTCTCCGCCACAAGAAACAAAATTCAGCCATGGAATCAGGTGAAGCGAATCATAGAAGGGAAGCAAGGTAAGCAAAATGCATGAAATAAATCAGCGAAGGAGCGCGTTCTTGCACTCACCCTCCTACAGGTCCAGACGGTTCATTCAACTCTCCGTCACTCGAGCTGCCGCCGTTACATGAGCTTATATTAAATTGCTGGTGTCTAGCTGCTGGCGTAGACTGGTAGAGTATCTCTTGCTTTGTCAGCCTGTCGTATGGCAGCAATGGAAAAGGCACAGTTGTGTCTGTCACTTCGGTGCTTGAAGGAATTGTGGGCAGTGTGACCTGTGTGTCACCACAGTGTGTTTCAACAGAGCCTTCGAATAAGGCATACAGGCCTCTCCAGACAGCTGTCATACGCTCCACTGGATACGCTGACCACGACTCTTGTAATGCTGCTGCCAGGTTCACGCACGAAGGAACAAAAGGAACAACCAAAACGTCCCTCGCATACGTGCATCGCATCGAAAACACCTTTCTTCTTCAGCATGATGCTCATACTCCTCTGCCGTGCACGCGTGCCTGTCACGCTCTCCAGGATGTCAGTTGCCCCTGCTACAGTTCCGGTCTTCGGGCCGCTGCGCTTGGCTTTTGGCAACACAGACAGTGAATGGCCAGATTTCCACTTCCCAAAAAAGTCGAACACATCGCGATTCAAAGCGCTAGTCACAACCATTTTTTCTTTGGTGCCTCATTTGATCTTGCCATCACAACCTCCCAAGCAAAAGTAAGTTAGATATCGTGATTGGACTGGGTTTTACCTGTCAAAAAGTGCGTGGGAGATAAGCGACAATTGCGATGAGCCGGACCAAGTACCTACAACCGTTGTTGGTTTCAGGGTTCATATACTTTCTTTTTGAAGTATACATACCTGTTAACCATGGACTACTTCTGGCTAGATTAACTCTTGTGTAATCATGGTGCTAGTGAAGCTTGTATCAGATCCACTCTGATTTAGCCACTCACACTAGTAGCAAGTATTACCTTCACTGGGGGGCAGGGGTGGCTGCAGTTGGATCCCAGGACGGATACCCTGATGCCGTCAATCCTTTTTCTCAACACCTTGTCCTCACCCACTTACTGAGGTGTGATGAGCCCATAAGTGGGATCATTTTCAAGTCCACCCAGAGTTTTGGGGATTTCAGGGGGTGTCGGCCGTTGGGCAGTTCAATAGCCAATTGAGTCATCTTTCCAAGATTCCTTTTCAGTCTCTCTCCTCTCTCCCGGGGAGACCCACGTGACCAGTTTTGGCAGTGAGCAACAAGTACAAGTGTGTGTGTATGTGTGTGTGTGTGTGTGTATGTGTGTGTGTGTGTGCGTGCGCGCGCGTGTGTGTGTGTGTGTATGGTTTCAGATCACCGGTCTGCATCTATGACACTCTCGAGCATGACGGATGTTGTTTATCTGCCGGCTCCATACCATGGCTCTCCTCCCGGTGCTGCGGCTATACAGGCAATTTCCCTTCCTACTTCCTGCACTTTGAGTGACTCCACCCGTTATGCCTACAGCTACAGGTTCCAAGGCAACGCTCTCTGGAACACCACTATTGTACCCAGCACTTTTGTAAATATGCGACTTAATCATTTGGACAGTGCCACTACAAAGCAATGGAGCGACGAGGGGAAGTGTTCATCATTCCTCGACCCATGTGTGCTGGACTGCGAAGCTGGAATTTTCTCAACTAGCGAGGGCAGTGCCTCCGCGGCTTTCAGCCTGGTCATAACCTTTTCGAAGATCTCTCTCAAGGAAGAGTGTGAGTTTAATGGTTTTTTTGTTGTTGTTGTTTTTTACCAGCATAGTAGTGCAGAGACTGTGTGGGTATTGCAGAGCTGGTTACCAACTGTGTGTTGTACTGAAGGGCTGTTAGGTTTAACCATGTGTGTGGGGGGTGGGTGGGTGTGTGCGTGCATGGGTGGGTGTGGGTGTGGTCCACTGAGTCAATCGCAGCATACAGGGAGATAGTGTGGTCCAAGGAGTCCATCGCAGCAGACAGGGAGATAATAATATAATAATAATAATTGAACAGTTCCCGTACACGGCAGCAAATGTTAACCTTTCCGCTTCTGTCTCTTTTGAGCTCTGCTACATGTGAAAAAATGAAAGTGCACAACCGGATAGAGGTGTGTATGTAAGTGCGCACATGCATGTGCTAGTGTGCGTGCGGGGAAGTGTGTGTGCGCGTGTGGGAAACGGAGTGCAAGCACTAATAGTTACTGAGCGGCCAAAATGCAGCAGTTACTGCTTGAACGTTAAGAACAGGGAGATAGTGTGGTCCAATGAGTCAATCGCAGCATGCAGGGAGATGGTGTGGTCCACTGAGTCAATCGCAGCATGCAGGGAGATGGTGTGATCCAGGTAGTCAATCGCAGCATACAGGGAGACGGCAAGAGATCATAGTACCTGAAATGATGTGCATTTTACCCCATCTGTGGGAGTAGCTACGCTGTCCGTGGTCTCGTGGTCTCTTCACCTGCTGATCGCTAACACGGCCCAGTCTTGGAGTCTTGGATGCCATATGCCGGTACCAGAATTGTCTTATCCAGGGCTCACTGACTTGTACCAGGCTTGTCAGTTGGAACAGTCTGGCATGGTACGTTCGGGCCTGGTTTTTAACCTCTTTAGCGCGAGCGTCGTACTAGTACGACGCACACGAGTTGCATGTCCCACGACCGTCGTACTAGTACAGTGTTGCCAAACCGTCCGATTTTTCGGACCGTGTCCGATTTTTGAAGGCTCTTCCGAAAACCGGTCCGAAAAAGGAAACGTCCGAAAAGGAGCCAAAAATGTCAGGGATATCAGTACTTTCCTACGCAGAAGTCCTGTATTTTCACTTTTCAGCACAACTGAAGGCACACATCAGTCTGTAGAACATCACTAATCATGTACAAAAGTCATGTAAAAACTTAAAAGGCTAGTGCTTGGCCTGCTGTGGAAGTGCAAAGTAACATGCCTGGATGGCATCAAGAGTACATAACCAAGAGTGTGCAACTGCCTGCACAACCTCTATGCTGTGCTGCGACGGCAGAACTTCACATCACGTGACATGGTTCAAAAGGTTATGCTGGCAAACAGTGCAAAGTGACCACAAGAGAGTTGTACCCAAAGCCGGGCTGCGTACAACCCAGTATCTATCATGCACTAGAGTGCACGGGTTCATCACGTGATGTGAAGTTCTGCCGTCGCAGACCCCATAGCTGGAGTTGCACACTCTTGGGTTATGTACTCTTGATGGCATGCAGAGGCGACGGTTCGATACCGGAACGGTTTGACAGCCAAATTTGTATAGACCCAAACCGATCATCAGCGTTGATTGTTCACTCGAAATATGTTTGTGGAAGGAAACTGGCATGTTGAAGTTTGTTCTGAGGCCAAAGTCAATCGAACTGAGCCACTCCTTTGTGTAGACCCATTGCCTCCAGGTTGCCCAATTTTTCGCTTCAAATCAGAGGTGGCTCCAAACCGGAAAGGCTTTAGAGTGCACGTCAAATTCACTCTTAGTCTGAAATTAGGTAATTGCTATCGCTCCACGACGGCCAGTACAGAGTAACAATAAGCCTTGTGTGTGCTTCCATTAGTTTTGATTGGTATGCGGTGCTTTATTGGCGAGAGGCGAGCCTGCGACAAGAAGTTGATTTTTCGAAAGTCGTAAAACTCAAGTCGCATTGCGAAGCAACACGTCAAAACTCACCTGCTTGGTATGGCACTTCTGGTCATCGCAGAGCCATGAAATTTTGGCTCGGAGTATAACACATCGCAGTCTCACTGTGACATATGTTTTCTAATCAAAATACGAAGAGAGAAAGTGTATATTGAGTCCGTTCTGGTTTGCAACCTATGTCCTATTTGAAACCGTCACCTCTCTACACTGTACAGTGTGTGACCACACTCATGCATTACAAAATTCATGACAACTTCGGGGGGGGGGGGTGCCATATCCGTTACCATGGCAACGGAGTGAATTTTTAGTAATAGGTTTTCATTTGACCCGACGAAACCACACGACGCTTGCAGATCACAGCACGAACAGTTCACCAGCCACACTCCATGAAAGCAAGTAGAGTACTCCTGACAAGTCTTGTTTCGTTCCATAGAGATAATAATTATAACGGGAACTCATCAAAGGAGAAGCAGTTGTTAAATTTTTTTGGTGTGAATTTTCATGGTATTTTGGGCGATATTTTGAATTTTCTGGAAAACATTGCCGAGGAGAAAATTCGCACCATGTGGCCAGCCTTGGCGGTGAAGGGTGTCCAATTTTGGGCGAAAATTATTTGGTACCACGTGCGCTGTATACTGTACGGTGAACCTGCATCTCATAGTCGTGGGGTCCGTGTTGAGTCATAGTGGCTTGTTCAAACTATCGTAACTCACTCAATACTTGGTCCAGTCTCACAATCGAAACATGTATCTGCAAGAGAAAACGCTCAGCTGGTGATAGAAACAATTGCCGAAGCAATACGACTACCGGTTGTTGAGATATGCGACTCGACACGGCAAATTCCAACTCGATTTTTTTGCGCAGTCTGCAGAACGCGTATTTTCCATTTTGAATCATTTTTGCGCTACCCGCTGCCATGGAAACAAGATTCAAATAATGCAATGAATGGTAGTGGATCTCGCGAGTCCTCACAAAAATTTGAGCTCGATACGAGCAAGGAGACCGAAATGGCAGCTGAATATTTGAGCTGGTTTAGTCTTGGCCGTGCTCAAGTCTGTCGAGCGTGTGGATGAAGCTTGCCAGACTGTAGAGCGGGGTTTTGGTTTTGCTCCGAGCTGGGTTTGTCACCAGTTTGTCACCAGTTTGTCCCTCGTCTCAAGCCCTTTCCAGGAAACTCAAGATCGTTAAATTTGTCCAAGGGAAGGTAAAGTTATCGATCCTTGAACAGCTAGTACCGTAAAGTACGGAGCAAACGCCCACCCCATTTTTGCAAGATCTGCTTGCCTGTACACACTGACCCCATGCACTGTCACCCCTACTGTACGAAAGTGCATCTCACACCGTAGCGGGAAGAGCACTTTGTTACGGTAAACTATGTCCACTTTCCTGGTTTCTTTGTGCACTAGCGCTATAGCCACGAGCTAGCTAGCTCGTAGTGATTTTTGTAATGATGGTTGTTTTATTTTGCAAATCCGAACGGGTTTTCTTCCGAATAACAAGGTAGCGAAGACCAGAGTATTGAAGGAACCAAAATTAATACACTTCTGACGGTGTTTCAAGCCATCATTTCGAGATCACACAGCGCCCAAAGGCAAATGTTTTTCTTCGGCACTTCGGAGTTTTCAACAAGTTAGCAGCGACGTTGTAGGTGTAGCTTCTGTGACATACCCTGTTCGACTTGCAACTGCAATATTGGGACCAGTCAAGCCGTTGACTGACGCTTCATCAGAACAATTATTGTTCCTGACATCGCAACATCGTGGCACTGCACAAATTTCTGCGGCATTACTCGTACCATATGGAGAATGAACTACCACAAAGACGATACATTTATTGAATGAAAGGAAATCTCGACAGAAGTTATTTCTTTGCAGGAAGATACCGTAATAACAATCGCTTTTGCACAGCCTCCTGGTAGGACATAGGCAGTTTGAAGGCATTACAGTCGTTCTCGTACGCATTCGACCTTCATGCCAGTTGTTTACAACTATATTGACCTGAAAAAGACGAAAATAGTATGGACCCGCTGGGGTGGGCGTTTGCTGCGAAGTGGGCGTTTGCTCCGGACTTTACGGTACGTTCATGGGAAAGGGCAGATGTTGATGCGGGGCACGTTCAGGTAGCGTCGAGCTAAAGAGGTTTAAACCTGGCTTTGGGGAAAAAAACTCACTGCTGCCAGGTCCGGCCTCATTTTCTCTGCACTGCGCTGCTGAGTCAACATGGGACGAAACAGCCTGCTGCCCACAGCCTGAGTACCAGCATTGTGTAATTCCACCCTGCCCTGGGGATGACTTGACGCAGCCTGGAGCGATAGCCTCATTACATATTTGCCTCTTCACGTGAAACCGAGAGAAACAACGCGAAGAATACCGTCTGGGTTCGAGTAACGAGAGTTGCTGCGAAGATTCGTCCAAGTGTGACCGAAATGGACCAGATCTATGGAACTATTTTCCATCCCATGGGGTGCTAGAATCCATACATCCTGTACACACACCTTGTACACACTCTCTCTAACGGTCTCTAGGCTACACTGCAATTGATATACATTAGATCAAATTTTCGGGCAAGGCCCATCATCAGGAATAAGTTACTTATTCCTGATGATGGGCCTTGCCCGAAAATTTGATCTAATGTATATCAATTGCAGTGTAGCCTAGAGACCGTTAGAGAGAGTGTGTACAAGGTGTGTGTACAGGATGTATGGATTCAAGTATTGGCTACAGTGGAGTCTCCAAACCTTGAGAAACATGGGGTGCTAGGGTCCTGATATTTCACAGCTCCTTGTCTTGACTCTTCGTACCCGCGTCGACCTACTACAAACAAGTTCACACGTTGTGCGCAACCTCACGGTTTACGAATATTCGTTAGCTTTTTTCGTTAAATCCTGTAAAAAGCCATATAATCATATTATAACGAAAGTGCTAAATCTAACGAGTTGACGCGGAGAAGTCTGTCGTTAAAATAGAAAACATACAGAAATCAATACGTCATATAGCGTTGAGAATGAGTGAAAATCATTACGTTTGCTACACGTAAGCCCGTAAATTTTCGGAAATCGTTATAAAATGTGGCTCGTTAGAATAATGGCTTTCACAGTGTTTTGGTTACGGTGCTACGAGTCCTGAGCCTCTCTAATGCCTCGGCTAGTATGGCTAGAGTACGGTTCGAGTCCAGGTTTGTCAGCATTGGATCGGTACATTGCACTGTGGCACACGCAAAGAAAGTGCGCACGAAGCTGCTGCAATCGTTCAAATTACAAAGTCGGTCGTAAGACTACTGGCAACTTTGGAACTGCAGATTCCCGGTGTGCATTCCACCGTCATTTCTTTGCGCGACCTGTGGCATCAAATCTTTGCTTAGCATTCCTGACACATAACGTAGAGCGTTTCATCACATCTTTCCATTGCACTCTCTCCACGTGGAGCACACGTATGGATTATGCCATGAGTACGAGGGGTGTACGGCCGAATGTTTCCATGACTGCGTTAGCACGAGGGAAATAGGGATCCTGGCGATCGCCCGCGGAGTTTGGCGTCTTACCGTATGAGCACTCGAGCGCTGCCTAGAAAAACTCACGTTCCGCGCGAAAGCAGGAAAAATGACAACTCACTCACGTTGATACAGTCATGTACGTCTGGTTTACAACAAATGAGTTCTTCCTCGTATTGATAATGGACTCAGAGAGGGCATGTCGAAACAAAAGTGTTGTAAATCCTGACGAGCGGCATGGGTCCCAATTCGTTTTGTGACCAAAATAGTTTCTTTGAGCTGCGATGCAATTTACTCACCGTGTGACGACATCGGCATCGACACGGGCTCATTCCCAAGGCCATGACTTGACAAAGCTATCCTTGTGATTTCAACGACATTTTGAGAAAAGCAGACGCTTGTACTTGTGAACGCTGATAGAAGACGGCGTTGACTGCTAAATTCAAATAAATTGGCGATCTTGAAATACTAAAATAAATCTCAAAAAGCTACAACGCGATGACTTCTTCCATATTCACTCACACCATTTCAGTGTTGTGGGTGTGTTCACATGGCGTGAGCCAGTCAAGTGTCAGTCAATTAGGCAGGAAGCGCGAGCTCCAACAACAAGTCGTTTGGTTTTGTCTTGTACAGGTTGTCCCTCGTTAATACATAATCTCTGGGATTTGACAAATGTTATGTATTAACGGGGTTTATGTACTAAACGAAAGTGTACATAACTTGCTTGTATAGCAGAATTTTTCACTTTTTTCTTGCTACCATGACTAGGCAGCGAGATATTCTTGATTCCCTCGGTATAACATAAAAATTATGTTATAATGGTCACATTTAGCTAGGGGTGAAAGTTGGCATTGAGATCCCGAGTTCGAGTACTCTGATTTTCTCCGATCGAATATTCGAGTATTCGAGTATTCTTCATCTCCTAAACATTGCACACCGAGGGCCTTAAAATCACATGATACAACCCTGATGAACCGAGTGGCAGTCATTTTTCTCTGGTGTATTGGTTGGTGGGTCATTTGGGCTCTCTCTACTCGTGAACAAATGTTCACCACACAGTCTGCACATCAATATCTGCCGACTCCTGCTCTGAAACTGCAGATTTCTGTGGTAAATGCATGTACCATGTTTGAACGAGTACTCTGATTTATTCCGAGTACAATTATTTCTGAAAAAACCGAGTGAGTACTCGAGTATTCGGTATAATTGTTTCACCCCTACATTTAGCGAAGATTCTACAGTTGACATGGTACATGCCCAGCCGCGCGCACCTGTACAGTCACTCGGAAAAAAAAACAGAGCTTTGTCGGTTTGTGATGTGCGCTCTGATTTCTATGCTAATTGCGTCCACAAGTAGAAACTAGAACATGACGTGCCTCCACTGGAAGGCCAAAAGACCAGTAAATTATGTACTATTGAGGTAGGTGACATGCGGGTACGGAGAAATGTTATGTACTAACGGGGTTTATGTACTAACGGATTATGTACTAACCGACAAAATTTGTATGGAAGTGACCACGTTTCGTCCGGGACTTGAGATTTCTTATGTACTAACGGGGTTTATGTACTAACCGGACTCGTATTAACGGGGGACGACCTGTTCCAGCTTGATCACCAAAACCATGAAAAAAAGTTTGACTTGAGGATAGGTTGGGATTTGAACTCAACACTATTTGTTGGATCACTGGTGTGTGTGTGTGTGTGTGTGTGTGTGTGTGTGTGTGTGTGTGTGTGTGTGTGTGTGTGTGTGTGTGTGTGTGTGTGTGTGTGTGTGTGTGCAAGTGCGTGTGTGCAAGTGCGTGTGCACGTGTGTGCGCATGTGCATGTGTGTATGTGTGTGTGAGCCATGCAATTGTTTCGGCTATGGGGATAAAGTTTCTCATTGGGTAGTCAAAGCATCACTCTTGTAGATGGTAGGCTCTGTAGAATGGCAGCATTTAATGTGACCGGTGTCATCACGCCATGCATTGTTCTGTTTCTCATCTACTCAGCTGCTGACTATTGCAAGTCGAACAACACCATCTGTGCAGCAAAGCATGCTGAGTGTCGTAAATACAAACAGACTGGTCTCTACACATGTCACTGTATTGTTGGCGGTGCCACTAGCTTAGACAGCTACAAGCTGAATTGTTCCGGTAAGATGGCAGTGATGTCCACTACTCTCCTTTCTTTTCGGCCTGTCTTCATGATCTTAGCGCTTGATATTTTCGATTATTGAGTGTACCTCCCCCCCCCCCCCTTCTTGCCCCTCGTCACTACCCCCCCCCCCCCCCCCAACACTACACCCTCCCTCACTACACCCCATTACCGTAAAAGTCCGTAAATAAGTACCTGCCCGAAAGAAATACCCCCTTCATTCTTTTGGCTCTGTCTGTTGAAGTCAAGTCAAGCCCGATAAACATACTGCCCGAAATAAGTACCGGTATGATGCGCACATGCAGCACGTAGCATGTACATCAACATGAAAGTGACTTCTCCACTACACACAAGTCAGGTCCGAAAGTTAGTTCGTGCCCGAAAGTCAGTACCCGCCCGAAAGTTAGTACGGGTGTGGCCACTAAATTCGAAAGTAAATACGTACTTATTTACGGACTTTTACGGTACTACACTACCCCCCCCCCCCTCCCCCCGCCCCCTTTCCCTGCCTTCATTATTACCCCCCCCCCCCCACACACACACACACTACACGCCATTACTACACGCCATTACTACACTACCCCCTGACTTCATGTAGAATCTTCAAATTTTAATTTTAATCCCCCTTCCCCTGGTACAGTTTTCAAACTTGGCCAATCCCCCCCCCCCCCCCCCCACACACACACACTACACGAGATAGCAAGGCTGTAAAAGTGAGTGGGGGCTGACAGCACACCGATGATCCAATCACTCTCACTCTCTCTCTCTCTCTTTTCTCTCTCTCTCTCACACACACACACACACACACACACACTCTCTCTCTCTCTCTCACACTCACTCACTCTCTCTCTCTCTCTCTCTCTCTCTCTCTCTCTCTCTCTCTCTCTCTCTCTTTGCCAGTTTTTGTTTCTTTGTGCACTGGGATCTTGTGACATGCACTCGCTTTGTTTTGCTTATGTTTTGACAATAAATCAATTAAAAAAAAAGAAAAGGGGGGTTGTCAACTGACAACTGCTCTATTCAGTTGCTGTTCACAATCTGCGCATGTGCTGCATTTAAAATTCTTTTATTGTGAAGTTGACAACTCATTGCCGTTTCGGGCCAGTCTTCTTTCGTCAGAACAATTTACAAGTGGCGAACCTGGCCTTTTATAGCGAAAGCTGTAATAGATCAATTAGATCTATAAAACAGTATGTGGTGGTGTCTGCGGCATTCATACCTTTCATAGCTCTGATTACCTCAATGTCTGTCTGCATATATGGGCGTACGTATAGGATATACCCTGAGCTGGAGGGTAAATGGAAAATATACACCAAATACAAACCGAGGCCGAAGTTTGATGGTGTATATTCTCAATACACACTCTTTGTATGACGTTATCTATTTTGACGACAGATTTCTCCTCAATAACTCGTTAGATTTAGCACTTCGTTATATGTAAGGAATTTAGTCCATCATTTTGCAATACTCTTCAGTAGGGACATTGTCCGGAGCATGGGTGTTATTGCCGTACATATACATGTTTGTTTAGGCAAGAACTGTCCCCGTGGATGCTTAGTACTGAAGTAACCTACTGTCAGTCAACAAATGTTCGGCGCATATTTATTTTCTTGGATAAGAAGAAAGGACAAAATGTTACTTCGTACTTCCTCCGCGTCATTAAAATTGTCGCTTCCCAGAGCGATTTTTCGAATTTATTTTGTCCACTTGAAGGGCAAAGAAATCAGCTAGAAATTGAGGCAGCGCATTGTCGACGGACCCAGCTTGAGTTTGTGGCCTCCCGCTTCGCCGCACTTGCAGCTAAGGTCGACGTCTTCATCAGAGTTTGAGGCAGACCCTTCAGCACTCAACAATACACTGAAGAAGACGCGCGTTCAAATTCAGGTCAAAAAACTTCGTCTTCAAGCGATCCATGCCTCCAGGTGGCAGGCGATGAAGGCAAGCTAGCATTTTTCAAGTACACTGTAACGACCTTCCAGCGGGATAGGGTAAGCAGTTCCGCACCTTCTTTCCTTGGCAAGCGCTTCGCTGATTTTGTCGATGTTTTCAGACCTGCTACCTTCGCAGCAACATGCACCACAAGTAGCGCATTTTAGGAATTTGAGACCACTTTGTTCTTGCCATCGTTAACTTCAGCATGATTAATGCCCACTCGAACCATGTGGGATTGAAAGAACTCCAGAAAACGAAATGTGCTCTGGGGTGGAATAGTGCTGAGCGCGATGAATTTGCTTGGTGTGGAAGAGAGCTCCGACAAAGTCCGAGACCACCACGGCTTCAGTAACAAGTAGACATTGCGCAGGAAGGGTCGCACCAGTGTTTGAACACAGAAAGCAGCGATTCCGACAGTCTGACTAAGACGAGCCAAGTCACAAATATTGCGATGTGCGAAGCGACAATTTTAATGACGGGGAGGAAGTACTAGTCATGACTAACTGTCCACCAACGTAACCAGATCATATACAGTCAGCTTCTTCCTTCCTTGTCAGTTTTGAGCCATTTTTTTCGCATTCGCTGATTGTATATGATCTGGTTATGTTGGTGGACAGTTTGTCATAACTCGCAACATTTTGTCCTTTCTTCTTATCCATGATTACTTTGGCTCAACATCCGAGTTTATATTTATTTTCTGCTATTTTCGGCCTGGTCATGTTCGGCCGGAAATTTGTTGCGGCCGAAATTTTGTTTTGCAAGGTTCAGTGTGACGGTGTGTGTATACAGGTAGCAGCAGTACAGGCCGACAATTTGATGCGGCCGAAATGTGTGTTAGCCCTGGGAGGCCGAACATTTGAACGGGTCGAACATTTGTAGACTCACAGTAGAGAGTTTTGTGTAGCCCGTCCAAGTGCCTCTTATCAGAGATGCACGGTAGACATGACTAATGTTATCCTCCTGGTCTGTGTTTGTGCCTTGCAGTGCCACCACCAACCACAGCACCGGCACCGACCACAACACCTACCACCACACCAACCACCACACCAACCACCACACCGACCACCACACCGACCACCACACCGACCACCACACCAACCACCACACCGACCACCACACCAACTACCACACCAACCACCATACCAACCACCACACCGACCACCACACCAACTACCACACCAACCACCACACCAACCACCACACCAACCACCACACCAACCACCACACCAACCACCACACCAACCACCACACCAACCACCACACCGACCACCACACCAACCACCACACCAACCACCACACCAACCACCACACCGACCACCACACCAACTACCACACCAACCACCACACCAACCACCACACCGACCACCACACCAACTACCACACCAACCACCACACCAACCACCACACCAACCACCACACCAACCACCACACCAACCACCACACCAACCACCACACCGACCACCACACCAACCACCACACCAACCACCACACCAACGACCACACCAACGACCACACCAACGACCACACCAACGACCACACCAACGACCACACCAACGACCACACCAACCACCACACCAACCACCACACCAACCACCACACCAACCACCACACCAACCACCACACCAACCACCACACCAACCACCACACCAACCACCACACCAACCACCACACCAACCACCACACCAACCACCACACCAACCACCACACCAACCACCACACCAACCACCACACCAACCACCACACCAACCACCACACCAACCACCACACCAACTACCACACCAACCACCACACCGACCACCACACCGACCACTACACCGACCACTACACCAACCACCACACCAACCACCACACCAACCACCACACCAACTACCACACCAACCACCACACCAACCACCACACCAACCACCACACCGACCACCACACCGACCACCACACCAACCACCACACCGACCACCACACCACCCACCACACCGACCACTACACCAACCACCACACCAACCACCACACCAACTACCGCACTGACCAACGCACCGACCACTACACCAACCACCACACCAACCACCACACCAACTACCGCACTGACCAATGCACCAACAGCCACGTCAACCAACATGCCAACCACCTTGCCAAGCAACACCGGGGCTATCACACCAACAAGCAATGCCAGTGATTCCTTAGTTGGTGGCGTGACCTTGGCTAATGACGATTCAGCTACTAGCAAGCCACAGCAGTCTGCAAACGGTAAAGATAGGTCTCTCTTGACTGCCTACATGTGTCATGCGTTCTTACTCATATTACTAGTACACAGAGGCTGTGCGCCTTAACCTGCAATAGTGCTCAAATGCCCGGAATGGGCAGAGCGTAGTACGCAAGAGGTACACAAAAGGAAGTAAACAGGGCTGTTTTTTTTGTTGTTGTAACTCAGAGTTTTTATGGCAAAAACCAATCATCAAAACAACAAAAGGAGATTAGAAAAAACGCAGGTATAAGATGCAGATGCAGATGCAGATTACTACAGTTGCGCTCACTGAAGTCCGACCCGATGTTCAAAGCTGGCGCCCTCAACGTGCACGGCCCTTGGCGCCCTCAACTTACACGGCCCTTGGCGCCCTGGAAGTGAAACGAATGCGGCTGGACGTACACATGTATACATGCAATGACGTAATGGGAACCTGGACTTTGGGTCGGATTTCAGTGAGCGCAACTGTAGTACCAATGTTGGGGCTGTGATTCTTTGGGATCCGGATCCAGATTTTAGTCAAGTCGACTGGATCTCCTTTTAGTCAATCGATCGCTTTTGTTGACAGCTCTACAAAAAAAGTAGTATCGCTTTTTGGACGTAGTAAGAATTGCTGTCAAAAAGTCTTAAATCGGCATACTCACTTCATCTGCATGCAAATAGCACTATGCCACTTATGTCCATGTGTGTGTGTGTGTGTGTGCAGTACTGTCGAGTGCCGGCAAGCTTGAAGCAGGGGATGATAAACGGTTATTACTGACTCAGTATCCGAGTTTAGTTGCTATAGTGTGAAATTTCTTGAAGTTGGTTGTTCCAACGAGGAACACGCGCTTCCTGCCGAACTTGACTCCCGACTGCCATGCGGAGCACACGAGGAGCACGCGCACCTTCCCCTCGGCAAACCTGCAAGAAAGCACCACTCCCTGCACAAAACATAGTGTAGGTATTGAGCAGGGAGTGGTGCTTTCTGGCAGTCAGTCAAGTGTCAAATTCGGCAAGAAGCGCGTGTTCCTCGTCGGAACAACCAATTTTAGCACGAACACCGCCAAAGTTGCAATTTCTAAGTTCGTGAAATTTCTCATTCAAAGTTTCCAAATACCGTATTTCCTTGAATACCCGCGGCTCCTTGATTACCAACCGCCCTTGAATCCCCCAGTTTCTTTGAACTGAGGGCTATTCGTACACAAGTGCAGAGCAGTTCAAATTTATACGCTATTTCAAAGCTACGAGATGACCTTCAGCTACGATGTCATACTCCTTCACATGCAGCTAGTGCTGCTCTCGTTTCGGACAAAGGACTGTAAGGGGATCTAAAGAAGGGTACATATCGAGCATACCATGATGATGACCTCTCACAACATAACGAAAAGCAAGATGAGTTATTTTATCGACCACCGAAAAAGAAAATGGTACCCGAACAAAGTAAACGGATGAACGTAAGACGTACGGAGGATTGTCAAATCTACAAAACCAAGAACTCAGATAGGAGAACTTGTCTAGGAGAAAGTGGACACTGACGCTGTGAAAGAAACGAACGCAGAAAGAAAAATCAAACGGGAGAGAAGAAAATTTGCGAGTCCTTTTTGTAATATTCCATCCAAATTTTTTAGCGTTGATGTCTTCTTGAAGCTCCTCTACTTCATCCTCGTCGGCATGAGGGACTGCTGCTGCTGAACATGCAACTGACTTGCTAGTCGAGCCTCAAGCTCCCTCGCCATGATATTCTTTCCAGTGCAACACGAAAAGAAAAGAAGATGCACTAGCCTACAGTGTAGCTGGACAACAAAGGTTCAACAGTGCACATCGTACGTGAACTCTACGCTGTAAGAGATGTAAGAGACCCAGCTCACTCGACAAATCAATCTCACTCTTTTCTGGACTAGAGGAATTGAAGTGTGTAGAGTAATAGTTGTCCATTAGTAAGTAATTCGGAGCATGCAGAAAGAGTGTAAGTAATTATGTGATTGGAAGGCCAACGGGAATGGGAGAAGCAGTCTCTAAGACCATTCTCGTCACATACGCATACAGCACGTACATTGTGACGTACAACTATTTTTCAGGGCCGCATCCGTTTTGCTAGTTTTGAATACAGGCCGCGGCGGTTGTTCAAGGAAATACGGTACTGCTTCACTTGGTTTTGCAAGTATGTGGCAGGACGGTTGTTATGGCAATGATGGCCTTGCGTTATTTTTGCGTTAACTGTTCCTCAGTTTGTCACATTTTGAGAATCTATGCAAGAATGCAATGCAAGAATGAACCACTGCCGGCTGTGACCACACAGACGGCAGCTGCACAGTCTATGGGCCATGGTGTCTTCTGGCTGTCATGCATGTGCTGTGTGTGTGTCTGTGTGTGCTGTGTGTGTCTGTGTGTGCTGTGTGTGTGTCTGTGTGTGCATGCGTGCATGTGTGTGTGTGTGTGCGCGTGTTTAAATTTTCATTTTGTCACGCATACATTCAGCTAACATGTCTCTGATCATTCGAATGTGTTTTTGCCCCACAGACATTAAGAAGGGTGGAAACTATCTGTGGGTCATCGGCGTGGCTTTCGGCATTCTACTCTTGATTGCTGTCGTTGTCATGTTCGTGCTTCCCGCACGTCGTCATCAAATCATTAAAGCCACCAACGTTATCTGGAAGCAAAGAAGGTGAGCACCCTGGCAATACTCGTAGTCCAGTCATACTTCTTTAGTAGGAAGAGCAAAAATATACTGTTTGAGCCTCCAGGTCACAAAGTGTGTGTGGTCACTACAGGTGGAATCCTGATAATTCGAATATGGCTTTAATTCAAACATGCTGCTTAATTAGAAGTTGTATCCTGGCATTTTGCGGTTCGAATTTTCAGGATTCCACCTGGATTCCACCTGTACTAGTTGAATGACTATGACCAGCGTGATGCCACGTGGTACTTGTATCCGCACGTGCCCAGTTCACGATCTGAACCACCACTTAACTGGAGTTGAGGCGACAGCAACTACATGTAGGCGAACATCGGAACAGTCCAGTACATTTGTTGCTAGCTCTTCCGCTGACCGTTTTTACAGTTTTTCTGTTTTGTTTTTTTTCGACTTCGGACTGTTCCCAACATGTCACAAACTGTTTTCCCGTTCTGTTGTTTGTTCATTCGCGGACGAAAAGTCGGCTACGTGCACGATTTCCCGCAGGGCATGTGTACCGCAGCAGAACGACGAGCAACGTCCATGCGCACCTGAAAACAAACGCAACATTACTCTGTCATCTCTGGTGGTGCGGTTAGTTCTACTGCGTCAACAGGAAGCAGGTTGATGATGAACTTTGCTGTGACTCTTTGGTTCTCAGCAGAAGCAGTGTGACATGATCAGGCGGAGGTCTGGTTTCCACAACATATCACCATGTAAAACTGGAAACTTTCGGTGGAGATTTATTTTCTGTAATTTTTACCTAAAATAAAACGCCTAAAATTCAACCATTGCCATTCCACACAGAGTGCAAAATGCATTTTTGGATCTGGAAAACTGGTTTATCGAAATTTCCGCGCTACTGAACCGTTGATTTTGGGAAATACCAAAAATATTAGAGAGGTTCCGTATAACGTAATTACGTTAGTAAAAAACGTAGTCGATCTACGGAAAGTCTTACGTAAACTGCATGCGCATCTGTGTTCCGCCATACGGAGTTTTCAAATCACGTAGCTGCCCTTGGCAACTCCGAACGCGGCAGTGTACGACCAGATCGACCTGGGGAGAGAGTCATAAATTTGTACCCCAATCCACTTACGGACCGGTTACGTTATCAGAGCCCTATCTACGTACTCTATGTAGACAACTTTCCGTAAGGCTGCAACCACACTAGGTACAAAATCACGTACAAACGGCATTACAGTAGAAATCGTCATGCCGACGTGTGCGAAATGCAAAATGCGCTTTGTAGGTTTTCAGCAACTGGCGCACCCCTGTAGAAAGCCACGTTTGTCATTTTCGCGCTCCTTCTCCTGTGTACAACTTTGCTTTTGTACCTGGTCATCGTACATAGCATCAGCATCAGCATTGTTTTTGAATTTCCCGGTCTTTTCCAGCGCATGGCACACGCTTTGGTACGACAACGTTACGTGCTGGTCGTGTGAAAACGTCTTGTACTGAGATATGCATGAAAATTTGTACGTAGTGTACGTAGATTTTTACGTAGTGTGGTTGCGGCCTTAGGCCGCAACCACACTACGTAAAAATCACAGTACAAATTTTCATGCAAATCTCAGTACAAGTCGGTACGCAACCACACTACACTTTTCGGTCTGCATAGTTGACGTTTTCACGCGAACAGCACGTGACGTTGTCGTACCAAAGCGCGTGCCATGCGCTGGAAAAGACCGGGAAATTCAAAAACAATGCTGATGCTGATGCTATGTACGACGACCAGGTACAAAAACAAAGTTGTACACAGGAGATGGAGCGCGAAAACGACGAAAACGACAAACGTGGCTTTCTACAGGGGTGCGCCAGTTGCTGAAAACCTACAAAGCGCATTTTGCATTTCGCACGCGTCGGCATGACGATTTCTACTGTAATGCAGTTTGTACGTGATTTTGTACCTAGTGTGGTTGCAGCCTCAGGCTGTACTCACACTACTTGAAAAACCGCATACAAGTGACTTACGTGTGAATGTTGCCACGGTGACGGTTGCGAAAATGAAAAAAAGCCCTTGAAAGCCGCTTGAAAGGTTTCAGCGGAAACGGAACCCTCTTCTACGAGGTTTTTTGCTTTCAAGCCGTTTGGAAAGCTGTGTGAGGTCAGGAGGCCGGAGTACTATTGTACGTTGAAAGGCTCCAGAATATTTTTCATGCTTTGTTTCCTCGTGGTCGAACTGCTCCTGTACATATACTTGAAGTTTCCTTTTTTGAAGAGTCGGCGTGGAGAAAGCAATTTTATTAGTGCAATTATCCTTTTTTGCCTGTCATTTCTGAATTCTGTGGTGTTTTTTTCCGAGTATTTTCGGTCTTCTTTCTTCCAGTAGCTTCCCGTTGTTTTGATTGCCGTTTCTGTCGCATTTCTTTTGTACCATTGCTTTTGTACCAACATCATGCCTCGCGTAGTGTTTTCTGAAGACTTGGAGAAGAAGCTCATCGAGCTGTGGAGAGAAACCTCTTCATCCGTCGACGTCGACGATGTGCTACTTCTTCGCGAGGCATGGCGAATGAACTCCACGATCCAAGCAAGATATAACTGTTTCTATTTTTCTCATGAACTGAAAATTTCAAATAAGTTGATCGAGCGCTAAAAAATTGAAGGAACGCAGCCTCGGGATTTGCAAAACTACCACATGCACATGACAATCATGCTTCTCCATGGTAATTTGCTGACAAAAATGTTTCAAGTCGTCACTGGAGTGCAGTGTGCTTGGAAAGGCTTTTTCAAGTACTTTTGTCTAGTTTTGAACGCGACATTCGCGTCAAACTTTCAAGTAGTGTGAGTACAGCCTAAGGCCCTCATCAGATTACGTACATAGAAAATCCAGTACAAAATCACATAAAACCTAAAAGGCAACATTTTTCCATGCCTGCTTTCAGACTACACATTTTACATGCAATATACAGGCAACCTTTGACCCTACGAAATTGCGCAATGGGCCTGGGATGTGTGAAAGCAGCGGACAGTCGTACCCGGGTACAAAGTTCGTACAACTGCCTGGTGAAAGTACGATAAATGCAGGAAAGTTGCCTTGTACAAGGGTTGGCACCCTGCCTGAAAGGATTGGGCAGCTTTTTAGGCTTCCCGCCAGATTCTTGTTGTTGTCCTGGAAACTTCTATGTAAATGTGACTTATAGGCTGTTTTGTACCTAGTCTGAAGAGGGCCTAAGTGGAGTGCAAACTCGCGAATTCACGGGTTTTTCCCGCCCACTAACGTAAAGTTGCTCATGTTTACGTAGTGCGGAACCTCTCTAGTACACCACCGAAATTCCGGGTTTTACAGTACAAATTCCGGGTTTTGCAGTACAAATTCCGGGTTTTGCAGTACAAATTCCGGTTTTTGCAGTACAAATTCCGGGCTTTGCAGTACAAATTCCGGGTTTTGCAGTACAAATTCCGGGTTTTGCAGTACAAATTCCGGGTTTTGCAGTACGTGTACATAATAATAATAATAATATGAACAGGTCGCATATTGCCCGCATAAAAAATCACACGGCGGTCCTGCATCTGTCAATGATCGTTAACCAGAGTTGCTTGTTGGTGGCGAGGTTGAGGCATTCCTGAATCGGCACATTCAGAGGTTCGAGGTCTTCTCTGATGTTGTCGACCGATCTCTTGTGGGGTCGTCCACGGGGGCGCTTGATGTCCGAAGTGTTGAGGGCTAGCTGCAGTGCCTTGTAAGAGGCCGTGCCTGGTCCTTCCCGGGCAACGTGCCCCAGCCACAGGAGGCGGCGCTCTTTACATGTTTGCGAGATCGGGGCTTGGTTGGTCTTTCGTGTACATCATTATTGTAAAATCAACGATCTGCCGAAATGGGTAGGTCTGCGTCCGGAAACAACCGTGTACTTTTCTTTTTTCTTTTTCGAACATCCGGACTACTCTACTCTACCACGTAGGGAAAAACGAACACAGCCTAAACATGTATGAATGAAGGAGTGAACAAACAGTACCAGCCGCAGGCACACATAATGCTGAACTTTACAGCTACTGACTTGGCCAATGTTGCATTGGCTTGAACCAGCCTGTGCACAACCCTCCCCAGGAGGATGCATTGTGCTAATTAACAGATTGTAGCGTAGCTTTATGAGGAGTGTTGTGCGAAAGCTACCCTCTTTTAAGGGGTATTAGCCTCAGCGTGCTTTGATTATAAAGTCAGATGTGTTTTTTGTCCTCATGAGTTGCGCAGTATAGTGAGGTGGTGTTGTAGAGTTTGAAAATGCTGTATTTTCACAAATTTTCGGAGTACTTTTATTTTCGGTACTTTCGGTGCAGCTGTTTCATACCTAAAACTTCAATACACCGAACAAACACTAACACGCATAATCCCATAGAGAACTGCTTCTCTGTACCGAAAATTTCTGTTCACCTAACCTGGCCTTCTGCCCTCATACCGAAAAAATTGAGCACAGAAAAATTCTGAAAGTTGAGTACTGTAAAACCGAAAAGTCTAAGGTTTTAACGACCAATTTGTTTACGTTATTTGAAGAAAGGTTACCGTGAACCCAGTTTGAGATGTCTGTGTAAAGACGCGCACACAGATGGGGGAGAGGGGTGGCCAGCTAGCCATCGTTAAACTTTCTGCACGTTATCATGCCAGAATTACAAAAACGTTAAACTTTTTGGTCGTTAAACTTTCCGGTTTTACAGTAGCCGAGGCCGCACAGTAGACATCCTTAGCAAAAAACGTTATGTTGTAACGGTATTATCGTAAGGGGGAAAATACCGTGATTTGGGTTTGACCTTTAGCAAAATGCACGCTATTTTTAGTAAGCTGTTGCCACGAGAATAGCTTTGATTTCGCGTGGTACTACCATTTTTGTCACCATATACGCGATACAAGGTGAAATGCGTACGGACTATGCAATATTTGGCCAAAACACGTACCGTTGGTCACAACGATAAATCAGCCCCCATAACGTTTATACGCTGCAGCTTCAACGCTATTTGGGTGATCAAGGTACGAGTACCGTAAAAAATAGCGTTACCGTTGTTTGCTAAGGGTGTCTACCGTTTGGAAGCTACTGCAACATCTGGAGTGGTTGAAATCCAACACATGTAGTACCACTATTCCTGGCAATTTTCTCCTCTTGGTCTGCCATGTTTTGACTTCATGCTGTGACCATTTGGGGAATTTGCAATCTTTGCTTCCCAGGCACCTTCTTAAATTGTTTGCGTACACGTGTCTGTGTCTGTGTGCATGTGTGTTTGTGTGTGCATGATTGTGTGTGTGTCTACTTGTCTGTCTATCTGTCTGTCTGTCTGTCTGTCTGTCTGTGTGCATGTGTGTGTACATGATTGTGTGTACATGATTGTGTGTGTGTCTACTTGTCTGTCTATCTGTCTGTCTGTCTGTCTGTCTGTATGTCTGTCTGTCTGTCTGTGTGCATGTGTGTGTACATGATTGTGTGTACATGATTGTGTGTGTGTCTACTTGTCTGTCTATCTGTCTGTCTGTCTGTCTGTCTGTCTGTCTGTCTGTCTGTCTGTCTGTCTGTCTGTCTGTCTGTCTGTCTGTCTGTCTGTGTGCATGTGTGTACATGATTGTGTGTGTCTACTTGTCTGTCTATCTATCTGTCTATCTGTCTGTCTGTCTGTCTTTCTGTCTGTCTGTGTGCATGTGTGTACATGATTGTGTGTGTGTCTCCTTGTCTGTCTATCTGTCTGTCTATCTGTCTGTCTGTCTGTCTGTATGTCTGTCTGTCTGTGTGCATGTGTGTGTACATGATTGTGTGTACATGATTGTGTGTGTGTCTACTTGTCTGTCTATCTGTCTATCTGTCTATCTGTCTGTCTGTCTGTCTGTCTGTCTGTCTGTCTGTCTGTCTGTCTGTGTGCATGTGTGTACATGATTGTGTGTGTCTACTTGTCTGTCTATCTATCTGTCTATCTGTCTGTCTGTCTGTCTGTCTGTGTGCATGTGTGTACATGATTGTGTGTGTGTCTACTTGTCTGTCTATCTATCTGTCTGTCTGTCTGTCTGTCTGTCTGTCTGTCTGTCTGTCTGTCTGTCTGTCTGTCTGTCTGTCTGTGTGCATGTGTGTACATGATTGTGTGTGTGTCTACTTGTCTGTCTATCTGTCTGTCTATCTATCTGTGTGCCTATGTGTATGTCTGTTTGTCTGTCGGCGCGCTTGTCTGCCATTTGTGAATCGATTGGCTGTACCTCTCTGTGTGTGCGTGTCTCCGTTTTCTGCTGCATTTCAGCACCAATGGTGGGAACGGGGAAGGCAGCACTTACGCCACATGGAAGCCACGCATCGGCGCCAGTGCCAAGAAGGCCGTTCCTGCGCAGAGCTTCTCGACGTTGTCCGCCGAGATCTTTGGTCTGAAGACGGGCGACAAGTCGTACGAGTGCTGGGAGGATGCCGGCTCCGAGCACCTCATCGTCGACGATCCCTCCGCCATGCTCTCCATACAGACAGACTACGCGTCGGTCGAGAACTCTCTCGGCCCGGAGGATTCGTTTAAGCGACAAACCAGCGGCGCCCTGCCGGCTAGATCACGTAGCGCCACGATTGAGACGGCCGCAGCCGACGAGGGTACCCGCGCCTCTGCGAGCTGTGTGGAGGACGACTATGCCGACAACAGTCTGTACTTCAAGCTGAACAGCGCTGGAGGACAGGACTCCACCTACTCCGTGCCCATGCAGCGTCCAACCTCTATGACCCACGGTGACAGTGATATGCACACTTCCACCGGCGGACCGCAGAGCCAGGTCAACGGCCTGAGGTTTGTGGAAGGAGACGGCAACGAGGACGGAGAGGAACAGCATGCGGGTCTGGCGGCCGGCGCCTCCTCGTCGGAGATGATGGTCATGAGCGGGACCAGCGCCGAGCACCTGCTGAGCGATGCGACACACATGACGCCCGGCGACACTAGCTGGGACTGCGTGTCCGTGTACAGCAAGCCAGCGCTGCAGGGCAAGATGTCGGGCACGTCACGTCACCAGCCCGTCAACACCTGCACCACCGTCGCCGACGGCTGGATGAGCGACGGGTTCGACGGGCAAGTGCCGCTCTACAATGATCCCAACGGTGAAGTGCGCTACGACGTGCTGATCGCCGAGGAGGAGATTCAGCTCGCACAGCCAAACAACGCCGCCGGTGTGAGTGACTACCAAGGCGTCGACGGTGGCTGGGCGGGCGGTCCGAGAAAGCCTCGCAGCATGACGGCGTCAGGTTCCACCTCCATCAGCACCTGCACCACCGTTGCCCAGGGTGATGTTTGGGTGGACGATGCCGATATCTATGAGGGCGGTGTGGGAATGGATAATCCCGCCTATGGCTCTCTCGGCTCCAAGAAGTCGCCCGCCTACGTAAACAAGATCGTGCGATCAGAGACGCTGGCAACGACATTCACTGGCGACGAGGAGGAGGATGCCTATGCTCGCACTGTGTTTGCAAAGCCAAACAAGATAAGTCGCTCCATGAAGAAGTCGATCAAGCGCATGACCCCGACGGGTACTGCCAAGAAGGCGCGCTCAGCGGGCTGCAGTGAGACCGATCTCCACCGCTCCACCCTGCAGAAGAGCCCACAGCAGCAGGCAGACGCCGACGAGGACATTGACTCCGAAGACCCGTACTCACTCGTCAACTTCGCCACCAACATGAAGCCGTCGGTGTCTGTAGCGGAGAAACGCACCACCGCCACAGTAGAGTCATGTGCCAGCATTGGCAGACTCCGTGTGTGCGAGAGCACAAGCGAGTGCGAGGACGATTCCTCGCTGGTGCCCGGCACCAAGGACTCCTGGGCGCAGCAGCACATCATCAAAGCGCAGGAGAGCAGCGTGGGATCGCCGCTCTTCCGTCGCATCTCCGGCATGCTGAGCGGTCAGTAGGTGAGTGACAGCTCGCACCGGAGCCTAGCCTATGTCTTGCCGATCAGCTTGCCCTCACGCACACACCACCTGCCACATCGTCATACACACACACACACACACACACACACACACACACACACACACACAGAGCTTGCTGCCCGGCATACGTACGTACGTAATGTAGATACGCAACAATAGCATATGCATTTTCCCGTTGGCTGTCTACTTTTAATGTTTTTTTAACTTCTCTGGTTGCCTCAACGGCTAGCATCTCACAAAGATGTGGTCACACCGCTTTTACTTTCCCCCTTTTTATGTTTCTTGAAGTGTACACATTTTCTGCATGAATTGTTTTGTCCACGTTCCCTCCTTCTCCAACTCCTCGCCTCTCCTCTCCTATCTTGTCTCTCTCTCTCCTCCCCTGTTGCTCTCTCTCTTTCTCACACACTCTCACACACACACACACACACACACACACTCTCTCTCTCTCTCTCTCTCTCTCTCTCTCTCTCTCTCTCTCTCTCTCTCTCTCTCTCTCTCTCTCTCTCTCTCTCTCTCTTGCGCTCTCTCTCTCTCTCTCTCTCTCTCTCTCTCTCTCTCTCTCTCTCTCTCTCGCTCTCTCGCTCTCTCGCTCTTTCTCTCTCTTTCTCTCTCTCTCTTTCTCTCTCTCTCTCTCTCTCTCGCTCTCGCTCTCGCTCTCGCTCTCTCTCTCTCTCGCTCTCTCTGTCTCGCTCTCTCTGTCTCGCTCTCTCTGTCTCTCTCGCTCTCTCCCTCTCTCTCTCATCAGGTGGATAAACTCAAGAATAATGTAAACTGGGTGTGACACGATTAGAGACTTTGTCTCTCGGTTGACCTATCCATTTTAATGACTCGATCATCGATCATAATTTCGATTTTTAAAAGTTCCCTGAAAGTTGTGAAATTATCATTCTGGCTGCTATATCATATCTTACACAGCTATCCCACACTTTCATTGTATTGTCAATCAGTCATGTCGAGTACATCCATAGCAAGTTCATCTGTTGCTTGTTCAAGGGGAAGTGCATCGATTTTTCCAGTAGGGTCCAGAAGAAAGACAATTTGATATCGGTTTGAATGGCATATCTCTCGCTTCCATACGCTTCCATACAGAAGTACAACTACAAAGAGTACCGAATAGAAGGCCCCGAGAACGGGAAACCAAAAAAACAAAAAAACAAAAACAAAAACAGCAACATCAAGTTACTGATTATGCACATTGCTTGAAAGCAAATCACAACAATGATTAAGAGTTAAGCTGTCTTTTAGCCAAATAGCCAATTTGACGCGGAAATCTGCGATAGTAGTGCAGGACTTCAGGTCGTCTGGTAAATAATTCCAAACAAGAGCCGATTTACTTGAAAAGGACAGAAAGCCAGACATAGATCTATAGCGATTGATACTCATGTTATGAGTTGTAGAGCCGCGAGTAGTTCGGGTAGACGTACATATGGGAAAGAGGGACTGCAAGCAAACAGCCGGCTTAATACAGTAACAGTGGAAAATGAATACAAGGAACAAAAATACTGATCGATATTGGAAAGAGGAAACATTGAGGTGGTGAAGAAGTGGCGTGATATTAGCTTGGGGTGATGTGCCACAAGCAACTCGTACAGCGCGCCGGTGGAGTGAGGCTAGCTTGTTTCTATTTTTAGCGGATATAAACGAAAGGTATACAGGGAGAGCATATTCTAGATCAGGCTGAATAACACCGACAACGAAAGTACGGCGGGCAAACAGGTTCATCTGGCGGAAAGATCGACGCAGTACACTGATCTTCCGTGAGGCTTTCCGGACGACATTGTTAATGTGTTGGTCAAAGGACAGCTTATTGTCAACAACGACTCCTAAGCATCTGGTGCTTTCCACTTCCCCAAGCGTAACATTTGACAAGGTGATTTGCAGTTGTTGCCTTTGTTGTTGTTGCTGACTCCCTGTGGCACGTTTGGGATGGATTTGCATGACAACGGTTTTGTCGGTATTTATCTGCATACCAATGGAGCCAAGGTGGTTGTTTAGTATCTCCAGTGCCGATGACAACTTGGCTTCGGAACGCGCCTTCGACGGATCACTAGAGTAGACTGTCTTGTCATCTGCGAACATCAGTAATTTTGAACCCGCTGTCTCCGCAAGCTGGGGAAGGTCCCTCAGGTAGACATTAAAGGGGAAGTTAAGGCAAAAATTAAAATTTCACCAGTTGTAGTCTTCGGGGTGCTGAGTCGAATGGTCTTGGTCCGAGAAAGCTGAGACGCTCCCTTCCTACTTGAATCCCAATCGAACTCGCGCACTTCCACCGAAACTGGGTGACTGCGCCCTACGAGATGGGGATTTGTATGCAAAATGTCACTAAAAGCGCCATTTCGTTCTTATAAAAGCACGGATGACCGCGATTGGCCCATATGTTGTAGTCTTTTGGACGCTGAGTCGACTGGTTTTGGTCCGAAAAGGCTGCGATGCAGCGTTCCTCCTTTATTCCCAATCGAACATGGTTGAACAAGCGGTCACGTGCTCCTGCGTACACCAGTCACCTGGTCACCGTGCCTGCAGGGTACAACCAAGAGTACATAACCCAAGAGTGTGCAACTGCCTGCACAACCTCTATGCTGTGCTGCGACGGCAGAACTTCACATCACGTGACATGGTTCAAAAGGTTATGCTGGCAAACAGTGCAAAGTGACCACAAGAGAGTTGTACCCAAAGCTGGGCTGCGTACAACCCAGTATCTATCATGCACTAGAGTGCACGGGTTCATCACGTGATGTGAAGTTCTGCCGTCGCAGACCCCATAGCTGGAGTTGCACACTCTTGTTTATCTACTCTTGGTACAACTTACAGCCTGTTTTGACCTTTTTTGGGTACAGTCCTGTCACTCGAGTTGAACCTTGGTGTGAAAGTTGTCGCCTGCTGGCGTGGTGACCAGGTGATTTTGGCACCCAGGAGCACGTGACTGCTTCTTCAACCATGTTCGATTGGGAATAAAGGAGGAACGCTGCATCGCAGCCTTTTCGGACCAAAACCAGTCGACTCAGCGTCCAAAAGACTACAACATATGGGCCAATCGCGGTCATCCGTGCTTTTATAAGAACGAAATGGCGCTTTTAGTGACATTTTGCATACAAATCCCCATCTCGTAGGGCGCAGTCACCCAGTTTCGGTGGAAGTGCGCGAGTTCGATTGGGATTCAAGTAGGAAGGGAGCGTCTCAGCTTTCTCGGACCAAGACCATTCGACTCAGCACCCCGAAGACTACAACTGGTGAAATTTTAATTTTTGCCTTAACTTCCCCTTTAAAGAGGGTAGGGCCTAAAATACTTCCCTGAGGAACTCCTCGAGACACTGCAAGACTTGAAGACTGGCTGGCTTGCGTGACGACACGCTGAGATCTCCCGGCGAGGTACGACGCAAACCAACGCAGGGCGCTTGCATGAACACCCATGCCATGGAGCGCAACGAGTAAAGGCCGATTCACAATACAACTTTCTGCGACGCGACATGCGACTTGCGACACATGCGACGAGCTGCGACAGCGACACACGGTTCACAATATTCTTCATGTTTGCGACATCATCATGCACAAGTAGTACTATGCACGTGCACCGCACGTGCACCCAGGGTCGAAACTGTACTCCATTTGTGTATGTCGCGTGTCGCATGTCGCAAAAGTTGAACTTTCTTCAACTTCTGCGACAGGTGCATTGCGACAGGTTGCGACAGCTTGCGACAGCTCGCGACAGGCAGTTTCTTGTCGCAACTGTCGCAAATCGCGTGTCGCGTCGCAGAAAGTTGTATTGTGAATCGGCCTTAACTGTTGATGCTGGATGCGATCAAACGCCTTGCTGAGGTCGACAAAGGCTACACTGGTAGTCTCTCCGCGGTCCTGGACCAGTTTCCAATCATTTACAGCAAGTGTGAGCAGTTGTGTCGTGGAACGAGCTGGTCGGAACCCAAATTGGTGATCGTGGAGGTGATTTTCGATGGTCAAACTGTCACATACCTGATTTAGAACCAGGCGTTCCAGAGTCTTAGCTAGAATCGACGTGAGTGACACAGGACGATAGTTCGAAGGAGAAGTAGGATCGCCCTTACGGGATTTCAATATCGGCGTGACATTAGCCAACTTGAATTGTGTCGGGAACACAGCAGTGCACAAAGAGGTATTAAATATTAGGGTGAGGGAGAAGGCGATAACTGGTGCAACGGCCTTCAGGATGCTCGGGAGGAGACCATCTGGCCCAGGCGCTTTCGTAAAGGGATTGTATTGGCTATTATTTCCCGGTCAGCAAGGCTCCTGATTGGCTGAAACAGGCCTATAGTACCGTACCATGGGATAATGGACAGTATAGCGTAACTTGTAATTTATTTTATTTTATTTTATTTTATTCCAAGCAATACATGGCTGGGGTAGCCAATGACCACTTGGCGTGGCGATTGCAGGGTTTTTATAGCCAACCATGGCTAACATGGAAAAGAGTAAGAAGTCAAAAAGAAAAGGAAAAGAAGAAAGAAGCAACCATGGACTAAAATTGTGGTCTACTGGTAAAGCAAGGCGTTCCTTGGTCTTTCTCTTTTGTATAATATTGAAGATAACAATGGATAAAGATTCGAACAAGTTTTCGCTCAACACTCGTCAGGGAAACACATGACAGTGCTGAAGGTTACAAGTATGATTAATAATACTGATCACACTTGTAATTTCACGTTCATTATAGTAATAATTATATTAAAACTGTAGGGCTGAAACGATTATACCAATTACTGGGTATTATTATATTAAAGCGATCGATAATTCCGTATCAATCAAGTAATCGTTACACTCGTTAAGTATTTTGAGTCCAAAAAGTGCTGAAAACCATCGTTTTAGGAAGTTTGAATCAGTTTCCACTGGGAGTATGCAGTTGTCAGGGGCATGGTGCATATTCTGAGGTTAAATTGACTTCAAAACTGCCATATTTCGGAGCTACTCTATCACTAATGCAGATTTGTCGTATTTTGAAGGCAAACAGAGTAATTTTTGTACAAAATTCTGACACTATTTACTAACGATCATAATCGATTAATCGATCGTTAAAGCTAAAGAGTAATCGATAGGTGAAAATCCAGGATCGTTTCAGCCCTAAATTTATTTAAAAAAAAGAAGAAAAAAAGTAAATTATCGTATCCCTTCCCGAAGGGAACTCACGACGGCCGCTAACACCCGATAAACCCTAGCGGCATATGCAGCGCCTAACGGTGGGGGTGAGTGGGCAAGTCTCACAACCACTGGCACAAGTGCCGAAAACGACCCCTGCTAGCTGCATCCAGTTCCCAGTTGACTGTGGGTAGCAGCACGGCTGGAAAAACCGCTCCCAGGCTAGCAGCATGCTCTGACCTCTTAGCTCCATCAGTAACTCTCATCTTCAACAAGTCACTTTCCGAAGGGAGATTTCCACTAGCCATGAAACTTGCAAATATCACCCCTGTGTACAAGAGCGGCGACCCTACTAAGGCCACCAAATTCAGGCCTGTTTCTCTGTTGCCTATTATCTCAAAGATCCTTGAGCGCATCGTACATTCGCAACTCACTGAATTCTTGACCACCCACAGCCTCTACCCAGATTGCCAGTTCGGATTCCGGAAACAGCACTCAACAGAGGATGCTGTTGTGATGGCATCAGAGGCCTTTGCCAATGCCAAAGACTCCGGACTCTCAACTTGCGCCGCCTTTGTTGACATGTCGAAGGCATTCGACAAGGTTCAACATGGCACCCTCATCCGCGACCTCTTCAGTATTGGTGTTGGTGGAAGTGCGCTGAATTGGCTGGCAGACTACTTAAGTGACCGGCAACAAAGAGTTGTCATTGGGAACCAGCACAGCAAGGTATTCCAGCCCAGCAGTGGTGTGCCCCAGGGTTCCGTACTTGGTCCTCTGCTGTTTGTCCTCTATGTCCGTGGTGTGGCAGCTGAAGTGCAACCGTATGGTGTGCGGACAGTTCAGTTCGCAGATGACATCATGCTCTATATTAGTAGCAGGGACAAACATCAGCTGGAACGCAGTATGTCTTCTGCAGTTACACACCTGGCCAGATGGCTTGCCAGCAGGAACCTGGTACTAAACGAG